CGACAGATATCTGCTACAAATACTCAATTGACAATAGAAGCATTTTAGCAATATGGAATACATGTTCACAGTAAAGACACTTTGAATTGATCTCATCCTTTGCTTTATAAAGTTTGCAAAAACAGTAATGGCATCACTACCCCAGATTTAATGCTCAAAATGCACACATAATTTACTCTATTATTACACTACAAACAGTGAGTTTTGGAGGATTTGACAAATAACAATAAATGCTGTAAAAGGCAAAGGCAAAGACAAGATGCTAATTTTGATTATAATGAGATGTCTGACAACACAGATTAGTTACTCTTTTTGCATTCATCCTCTCTGGTCCCCTTTGTCGTCACACAGTCCTCACTCAGTAGATACTGGGGTACTAACATCAGGAGGTCCATTTAGATCTTGTTACCAACATTGAACCCTGTCTGTTGCACACAGGCTGACATGTTAGAGATAGGAGGGTGTAGGAGCTCATAAACTAGCAGCCGCTGTTCCGCCGTGCGAACGCCTGCCCACCAAGTGTGAACTCCATCTCTTGGAATTGCATGTTGGATATGGAGATGGCTGATGTTCCTTTCTCCTTGAAGCCGGCCTTTACGTAGAAGGGCACCAGGAAGTCTTCACAGATCAGCAGCGCCCGGCAGAGGCCCGGCATACAGCGCAGGTACTGCAAGTAGCGCCAGAGGAGGATGGAGCCCTTGCCTTGCTGGCGACAGTGACGGTGCACTGACAACACATGGATGTGCACAGTGGGGGTGTCTGGAACATGCTGAGTCATTGCCTCCTGGAGAAAGGGGATTACATAGTCACATGCATCAGAGAAAGTTTATCAATATCATTTTTCTTCATGGTAAAACAAGGTTTGGCACATTTTATTTTGTACACATTTTCATACCTGTGAAAGCCTCTCCTTATCCCAGCCAGTGCCGATGATGAAAGCTACCAGCTGTCCCTCCTCAAACCAGCCCAGCGACAGCTCGGGGCACTGGCCCACAAAGTTAAGCACCTCATCCAGGGTAAGTGGACACTTTCCAGACACCGAGACAAATGCTGGGGGGGGGGGGGGGGGGGGAGCACCAGTTTATTCAGTGGGTCATGTCCTGGGAGTAGTAATAGTAATATCAGGACAATATCAGTAATATAGTAATATCAGGACAATACTACAATTTGAGAGAAATGTGCTCTTTTTCAACTTAATACTGGCATTAAGACGAAATTGAACACTCAAAAGATATGTACAGTAGCATTTATATCTTCCCCAATAACAGAAAATACAGTATATCACCTCTACACAAGAACATGAGTCAAGTTCTTAGCTGGTGATACATTGTGTTAAAACGCATATCAGGTTAGTTTTATGGTGAGCAGAAACTTGACTTACCTTCTCTCTCGATCTCAAACACACTGATAGCATCCTGCGGCGTGAGGTTCCTGAACTCGCTGGCAGGGAGTGTGTGTCGTCTCTGTCGCAGAGGGTTGACCACTCTCACAGGCGTCTTCAGAAAAAAAAGGCTTGAGGAACGGTGAGCCACTGACCTGCTGTGTCATGATGCCTCAATAACACAAGGCAGGAAGATCTGGTAATTTGAGGAATCTCTTGTTAATCAGTTGTATTCTCTTCCAGCCTTTTTAAATATAAAGTTTATACGGATGCAAAATGAGTCCAACAAAAACGTTGGTCTGCTCAGTTTGTCCAACAGACTGTCATGTAACTCACTTCTCTGTCACCCCTGCTCTCTCTTGCTCCTCTTCTTTCTCTCTGATCTCATACTGTAAAGTGGTCCTCTCAAAGTAGGGTAGCTGTCTGTGCACATGTGTACGCAGTTTCTTAATCCCCTGCTTACAGACAGGCATTATGTTATTAGGGTGTAAGACAGTAAACTCTTTAGTTGCAGATTTCTATTGTGCATATTTTTAGCAGACAGTATTTTGAGTTACCTCCGTTTTGGATGTTGTCAGCACTTAGTTTTATTTTTCCCACACCTTATTTTGTATTTGTTTATCTGGTATTTTATATATTCACTGTGGGATGAATGTCTTTTTGTGACAGTGAAATGTTATGTTTTTTAAAGGAAATCAAAGGCATGATTAAACCCATACCGAGCTAGGATGGAGATTTGCCTCAAAGAGGTTTAGTGCAGACTAATTAAATCAGGGAGCACTTTCTTTGACCGGCCTGACGTAAACGTGTGTACACAGACTTCTTTGACCTTTTAGTTTTTGCATAAATTAAAACCTAAATGGGAAAGAAAAAGCTTTAAATAGTCAATTATCCTCTAATCTTGAATGTTGAGTTTACTATGTAGTTGTGCAAGTGTCTTAGAGTTTAAAACAGTATTCTTGGTGGATTTAACTTTTCCAAAATATTTACATTCCCAGTCCTGTCTTACATTTGTTATTTCTCTGCAGAAAGCCAAGCTTCACCCCTAAATCACCCAGCATGAGGCATATCCTAATATGTTTTAAAGTACTGCCCCAAGAGATGAGACCAATATAGAAATGTTTTAATAATTATTGTTTACCCCAACTGTTTATTTTTACTGTTAGATAAACATTTGTACAGATTTGTATCCACCTTTCTGAACAGCAGCTCTCGGTGTGGCCTGGGAGGGTCTGAAATTATTACTAATCTTCTCTCAAAATGACATGGTTAAGTTTTTTAAATCATAAAAGTATCTTTCAGCTTATCAAACAAGCTAATACATTTAAAAGCGTTAAGGAAAGCCTTTAGCTCTCGACTGATCTCACCCACTGACCTTCTCTAGCTGTCATAGACCCTAATCTCATTTACAACATGTGTAAACACATAACACATACATTTGCAGACACATTTTCTCAGAGTATTATGTTTTTACAGGCACACCCGAAACCTCGGTAACTGAATCCTTATTACATTTTACACTGCCGTATACCTGTCGGTCCAGCTGAGCAGAGAGCAGTTAACTAATACTGCTGGAGAATGTCTTTATGAAATATGAAACACCTAGCAAATTCATCCTGACATGAACCGGCAAACACCAGCAGGTTGTTATATGTGTGCTTCATCAAAAAAATAAAACATGTATGTACTCGTTTCAGGGTGAGACGTACATTATAGCCTACAGTATCATGTACAATGAAAAAGATGTGTTCCTATTTTCATACTTAGCCCAGAGGTATATAATCTGGAATATACTGACGTTAACAATGTGGAATCGAGGAAAAAATTGTGAATTATTAATAAGATTTGTGCACTGTCAAGACACAGATATTCAGTTTCAGCACAATAAATGAGCACACACCCTTCCTCTTTTCCACAGACTGTTCATCCCCCGATTGGCCTTACTTCACTGTTGCTGCATTCATGTTGAGCAGCTAACATGTTTCATGTCTGCTTTTCATAGGAATCTGTTGCAGGACCATGGCAAACAATAAGCAATAATATAAACACAAATGATGTACTGAAAAGTAACAGATAGATACTTTTCCAAATTCAAAGATTTTTCTGACAATTTTTTGACATACTATACTTTGATTTATTTATTTGTATTTGTACTATATACTATGTATTTTATTACATACTATACTATTACTTTTTTATTACATATGATACCATGACTTCTAAAACTTTCTAGTTAAATTCTAAACTTTATTATACTCTTTTTATGAAATACTATTCTGAGATATTTTTATGATGTTTGAAATTCTTAACTATGACTTATTTTAACTAAATGTAAAACATACTATACAATGCCATTATTTAATAAAAAATAAAAAATGTTATAACATAAAGTGATGAAACCTATAGGTTAAAGCACCTCTCTATTGGACACAGATCCGACACATAGGATGTAGTTAAGCAGTCGCTGCTAAGGAACTGTACCTGGTGGTGTTGCTACTAGCAACAGAATGCTCAACTGAAGCCAGCTGCTGGTGGCAGAACATGGACTGCGGCTTCAATGAAATGTTGCTGTATCAAATGGTATTGGGATTTAAAGGGAGACTTGTTTACTTGTTCCCTGTTTGGGGACTCAGATTGTAAATGACCTTAGGCCGACTGTGAGGGACACTTCTCATCCACTTACATCTGAGTAAGCTATAATTCAGTTGTTGACAATGCAGCTGCACTGTTTTAAGCTTCAGCCTTCTTGTTCTAGTTCTCATCAAGGGACATCAAAAGTTATTTATCTTCAAAACAAGATGACAACAGCCTTTAAACATACTTTCACAAATGGCATTTTATGATACTCTTCGTAGCACTTTATGAATGGGAATACCATATATAGATCATGTTAATCATAAACTAACAGGACCATAAGAATAAATGAAAACCTTTATGGTTTTACTGCAGTTCATGGTCCATGTGAGGAATCCTAATCCACGGGAGGATTGTGTTGCCTCCTTTGCCAGCAGAGGGCACTGTTTTTTCTTACTGATAGATGACAATCTTTGCCAGGTTTAAACCAATTTGAGGCAGGCATTAAACACACTTATAAAGTAAGTAATAATAATCAAAGATCAACATCTGGCCACCCTGTAATCATACTTTAGGCCCCAAGTTCAAACTTAAAAGTAAATAAGTAACTCAAATAACATGAGATTGCAGTATATAGAGTAACATATTCTAATACCGCAGCATCCGGACTAAAACCACCAGACTCGGACAGTTTCATCCCACAGGCCATAAGACTATTAAACACTTGAACTTTTGAAACATCCACAACATTAATCTGGCTGCAATTTATAAATTATTTATCCAATATATCATATTCAATCACTTGCATAGACTCTTATTGCACTATTCGACTTTTTTTGTATTTTTCTTTTTGTATTTACTTGCACTATTTTTTCAGTTTTATTGTGTTGCACTGTTGGAGGAGCCTGTGACCTAAGATTTTCATCGTCATAACTACACTCTAGCTATGTTTTCATGACCAATAAAAGCCTTGAACCTTGAGGAAAGTAAAGTATTCTCCGAGGTAAATAGGTACTGTGATGGATCAGAAAGGTTCAGGGTCGGAAAGTATTTAATCTGTTCTTTATTGTTATACACATGCTGCTATACACACGAGGAAAGACAGGTATTGATTTTACAGAGAGCCACAAACCACCTACTGTGGAGTTATCCTGGATACCAGGTCAATAGTGGTCACAACAGGAACAGGAAGGCACAGTGTCAAGTTAAAATGGCACAGAAGAGGAGCGGGGAAAGACAAAACAACCATGTTACTAAAAAGCGGTGAGAGGTTCAAGCCTCTACGAATTCACATGCAATCGCTAGCCCAATTAGTAATTGCACTGTTTGCACTTATTGCATTGGATGGTGGTCATTCCAATCAAATGTAATCTTAAAAATCCACTTGAACCTAAATACTAAGAATAAATGCATAATTGATACATGGTCATAACAAAGTAAATGAACAGTTACATTTTATATTGCAATAAACAATAACAAGATACATCTTTCGAGTAGCACAAAGTATGCGATAGAAAAAAAGGCTTTGTACATCAGAATCAAAAATCCATAAAACTGTTGAATATTGTAGCATTTGGAAGAACACTAATGTCCAATGCAACAAGCAGGCAGCCATATCAACTCAAGGCACATAGATCTATATGCATGGTGCTACACATACACTACCAAATAATGTAAAGGTGATGCAGCCACACAAACGTCACATAAGCAGACACTGGCTTTGCCGCGAAAAGACTGAAGAGAGATCTGCCACATCAACGACGAGCACACCTACTGTGCCACAGTGAGTCAGCATCTTTGAGTTTAGCTGTTAGGTTGTGAATCTGTAGCGCTTATTGAAAACCAAGTCTTCAATCTTATCTGAATCTAGTTTCATTATTTAAATATACGGATCTTTTTTTCTATGTAATATGCAAGTATACATTTTTTAAGCAAGTACACAGGATTCTAGTAGATTTATGATCGATACATATCACATTAGAAATAATAGAAAAAGTGACATGTAATGTTTAGGACTGCAGACAACTTAAACTCATCTCACCATAAACTTATTGTTATAAGGAATGGATTATTTTTGGAGTGCAAAATCACTTCAAATGGACACACAGGTACATACGCGATAAATGTTCAAATGTTCTTATCATTACCCAAATCGAACAAGTACTGTAACATTAATGTATTTCACTGAGGAATACAATATTCAGACACAAATTGTATTTATAATGTCTTCTGAATTTAGTGTAAAGCAATTGATACAGTTAATTTAAAGTAAGTGTGCTTAAAACCACCATGACAGGTAGTGAAATGTCTCTGGAATCCACATTACAAGACCACACCTTCGGTCAAGACACACAACCCAACACCATCTGACCGTTAATGAAATGTTTTCAAAGCTCTGGAATCAATATTCCTTTTTTAAAACATCCGTCATATAATAAAAGGTATGAGGAACATCTTTGCAGAGGCTAAATTTGGTTTCTAATGTCAGAGCCATTGATGGAATAAACAGAGCCCTCCATCTTCCTGGCGGACTTCTTTCAGGGCCGCTGTTGGATCTCATCGGTGAAGCAAAAGACTGGGCAGGGGGGGTAAAGGAATACAGGGACTGGATGTAACGCATACATCTGTTCTGATGGATGGGGGGAGGCTGGGTCAGACTCAGGGGTTGAGGTGCTCATCTTCCATATGAAGGCTGCTTGTGGGACACAGGAGAGGCTGGCTGGAGCAGTTGGTGCTCTGACTCTTCAGGCTTTCTGTGGACTCTGAGGACCCTGGAGAGGAAGAAGCAATGGATAACCAACATGGCTCAAAGGGAAGTTTTCAGTCAGACGAGAGAAAAAAAACATTGCCTATTCTTCCTAAAATAGGCCTATCACCGTCACTTGATAATACCTGCCAGATCTTTTGTTTTTCTATCTGTGTGACAGTTGATATCAACTCCCTAATGGAGGACTGAGTGAGAGCAGTAGAGCTCGCACACAGGCCCAATCCCAATGTCCCACTAAACCCTGATCCCTCAGGGACTGAATTGACGTCCTGGTAAGTGCTTCAGTGTGGGGGGGCAAAAGCCATAGGAATGGTATAAACAGACCTTTTTACAATTTGCACTTTCTTCAAGGCTTATCAAGCCTGATTTAAGCTGCTCTGGCTTAACAGAATTGTCAAATTATCTATTTACCAAAGAAAAAAGAAATCCTAAATCCTTTTTAATGTATTGTTTCTTTGTTATTATACCAGTGCAACCGACATATATGTTTAACTGAACACCCAATGTGACAGTCATCCTTTACTATGTTTTCTCCCTGGTTATCCCGTGTTTTACATCACAATCATCTGAGTTGGGGGTGACAACTGCAGACAAATAAAAAGTGTGTATATAAAGCTCAAAATGTCGGCAAGAGAGCCCTCATGCAGTAGAAGATTTGACAGAGGGACAGCCCTAAGCCCTTGCAGACCTAACAGGAACGTGCTTCAAAGTCTGTGAGTGTGGACATGGGCATTGAGCCCCAGAAAAGCAGAGCAGACAGGAAAGCCTACATACCAGAGTTATTCCTCCAAACCAATAGAGCAGGAATCAGGACCTAGAGCTGCCCAAAGCGAGGCAATACGAAGGGACAGGACGGAAGGAACCAGAAGAGGATTGTTAGGAAAAAGAGAAAAGAGAAGCACACAGGTTAGATGCAGAGCACAGGATATCACAACCTGGAGTCTTGGGTTTAAGAAGAGGAATGTTAGAGAACCAGAACTAGAAAGGAGTTGAAAATGAGACGAACCACATGTTTTTAGTAATTCATTTAAAAAGCTGCAGTGAATGCTTGATCAAATTTGCTTTAAGCCGTCATCAAGTACAGGTTGAAACTGTTGATGGATTTATACAAATGTTTATATACACAGTAGATATTGCACATCATCCCTTTTCTTTCCTGTTGCGTGGGCTTAAAGTCTGATATTAGCGGCAGAGATTTGCTCACCTGGCAGAGACAAGTCGCCCGCTGGGTCGCTCTCTGTTTTGGTCAAGCTGCTGTGTTCTCTGCAGCAGTCCTGTAGGATGTCTGCCCCAGAATGCATCCTGTCCTCTGAATCAAGCAGGAGAGTAAATGTCAATTACTTTTACCCTTAAAGACAACAAATCTCTACCAGGGTCACATAATGAACTGTTTTCTGAGGAAACTCACCATCATCTGGAGACAGGGATTCTGCCACATCCTCTGCAGCTGTGGCCTGGAAGAAGAGAAGGGGAAATATCTGGTTAATACTTTGTTTTCAGCAGAGTTGGAAACTGAAATGTCAGGTGGTGCAGAGGCGGCTCACGTCGGTGGGGGCGGGGCTGCTGGACAGCAGTGTGTGTGGCTGTGCATCAGACATCTCAGACAGCTTCTCCTCATCTTCTTCCTGGATGGGAGACGATGGAGACCTAAGGGTGCTGTAGGGGAGGACAAGGCAAAAAATGTTATAAGTAAAGAAAAATATATAACAGGTAATTCAATCAATCACAGCCACATATATTTTCACTCTTATTCTACCTCTACTTTTCAAAATATATAATAATGGATTCCAGATGTTATAACCTTAAGAATACATATCAAAAACGTTAGTCGAGTAGCATGTAAAAGCTGCCTTTTTCTAGTTTATTCTGTCTAAATTGTCCTATTTGAAAAAATCTGCAGCAGCCACTGAAATATTATAGAGTTGAAAATATAACTGAACACCACATCATTGTATGAAAGAGGTTACAGTGTAGATCTTATTATTAATCAAGCATAATGTAAAGAGATGTTTGTGAATAATGTTGCATATATATACATATAATCTGGTTTCCTGTCCTGACCTGATTTCTTGTACATGTGAACCTACCTGTCAGGGGACTTGCTGACTTTGCCTTTCTGCAGACTGCCATCACTCAAATGCTCGGGGGAGCTCAGCTGTCTGCCGTCGCCGACCAGACCTCCTGAGAAGTTGATGTCATCATAGAGGGGGGCAGATGGGACGGCAGGAGACACTGAGCTCATGCCATTCAGAGCCTCCAGCAGGGAGATGGGCTCAAAGCCCGGGGGAACCGAGTCCGTGCTCTGCAAAGAGACACAGACGAGAACTGATGGTAACAATGCACAGCTTATTTAAAGGATACAATTGCATCGAAAACACTGTCAGAGATGGGCTAGGGCCAGTTTAGATGTTAAGAGTCGTGGCCCTAAGGTCGGCTAGCCTACAGTATGTTTTACCCCAAATAGTTGGTCGATAAAATGCCATAGGAAGCTGCAATAGCAATATGATAAAAAAAGAAAAAAATTATTTTACCATCTTTTTTTACACAATAGGTTTAAACACTTTGAACCACATAAGGACTAAACTTTTCTTTTTTTTTTTTACTTAAAGGGGACCTATCATGCAAAATGCACTTTTGTACGTCTTTTATACATGAATATGTGTCCCCGGTGTTTCAGGGAACTCACCAAGTGTCAGAAAACACAACCCTCTCTCTTTTCCTCCATACCCAAATCTCTAAAAACGGGGCTGCAACGGAGCTGATTATTATTTGAATTTTTCTGACGTCAGAAAAGGGGTGCTCTGCCTATATGGGCAACTCTCCACCTATCAGGGGAATGAGAGACCGCTCGAAAGCGCTGGAGACGCTGTAGTACATATGCCAGGCCTGTAAGTGGCGCTGTAGTCTGCCACAAAAGCAGAATAGAGCGAAATGAGGCATGGCTAAAATGCATGATCTGTTTGGTATTTTGAAAAAAATACTTCACAGACATGTTTTATATAGGTATGGCCCTACAATATATGTTTCAAATATAGCATGATAGGTCCACTTTAATTTGTGAATTTCTGCTTTTTTTTGTAATACTGTGACCCTAGAAAGAAAAGATAAAAAAAATGATCTATTATGCAGTCTGAATTCATGTCCAATTTTCCCCCTGATGTTACTTGCCGTCTTAGAAATGTATATCTGATTATAAACAGATGTACAAAAGACTTACTGAGTGCTCGTCATGGTCCATAGTCTGAGCCAGGACAGGGCTGAAGGACACGGGGGAGAGAGCCCCGGGCTTTTTCCTCACAGCTCTGATCTGCAGCAAGGCTCTGAAGGCTGGTAAAGTAACACAATAAAACACAATAATAATGAACAGTCATTAATGTAAACGTTGACCTGTCCTCAAACAGCATCAATAAAGCCCTTTTAGGAGAATAACTGTTTCAAAAACAATGTGAGACTTCTTACGCAGCCTGCAGATGGGGCAGTTGTTGGCCTGGTAACGCAGAGTGTCTGCACAGGAGTTGCAGAGACACAGGTGTCTGCAGGGCAGGATGAGAGTGTCTCGCAGGTCGGACAGACACACAACACACTCGTTGCTGTTGTCACTGTTCTCATCGTCTGACTGCTGGAAAAGGGAAACAAAATCAAATTAAAAGTTAAGCAAATGAAACAGAAAGAAAGGTTTACACAGCATTGTGATTTATGAGGTGATGTTGTTAGTAAAACCTTGGTTTCCTGGTTGTTTTTGTTTTCAATCCCATAGATCTCCTGCAAGAGGTAGCTCACACGATCCACCTGAAAAGTGCATTAACAAATTGTTTAACTTATCCTCTCCTCTTTCTTGTTTTGTCTTCATTTATTTGGTCCGTTTAGCTATACATTTGGGCAGGATTGTACAAAATGTATTGATATATATATTTCAACGCTGAATGTTATTAAAGGCTTAAAATGAATAACATCGGTCTGAGCTCATAAATATTTAAACAAATGTTAAAAACACCAAAACAAAAATGGGGACAGAGTCTACGTCACATCAAATTATTTTGAGCTCTCTAAAAGTAGACATTTACCATCTACCTGCCAGACTCCCAAGGGTCTCGTAACAGATTATTTTTGTCTTTGTTCTAAAGCCGCAGATGAGTATGTGGCTCACTGATGATCTGCGTTAACATCCTGCATTGTATTCACAACACAATCACAATTCACTGACTAGTACTGAGGGTATTTAAAAAAAACACATTTACAAAAATCTGTGTAATACGATACTTAAATTGCACTTTATAATTTGCCAATCCATAACATGATTAATAATATATAAAATAAGAAAAATCATGAACTTACAATTTGCTTCTGCTTCAGTGGCTTGACAGAGAAACTGCCATCAACGTGCTGAAGTTAAAAGAAGAAAACGTTAAATATTCATATAAAAACATTTATCTACACCAAGTGAAATTATTTACTTTAGATGTCTACATACTCTTTCAAAGGCTGCCAAAAGTACGTGAGCATGTCCGAGGCAATCTTGAAAAGAAAACACAAGACTTTGGTTGATAGTGATGTTGACCTAAATGTTTATTTAAGCTTACATTTCAACTGCTAACACTGGCATAAATATTACAATTTGTTATGACTGTTGAACTATTCCTTCACATTACTATCTCTGTCTTACTACGTCTTCATTTTTATACAACCAGTCTCAATGGAACAGATGTCTCGTCCTGACTGTGATGCAGCTCTAGTAACTTACCGTCCCCTTCATCCACAACAGCCTGGATTACTATGGGAAACACTCCTCGGTCAAGGTCAAAGTTCAGCTTTAGGAGAAGAGAGACATAGTTATACATATTTAACCACAGGTGTAAACAGAGGACATGCATCCATGTGTGTAGGTCGGAAGTTGTGTTGATAATGTAGACCTAGATAAATGTGTGCTGTATAAGTGTAAACAGAGGGTATTTACAGACATAGAACCACACTGATCGTTGATTAATGTGTGTGACAAACTCCAAAAACTACTGCAGATACTTACATCTTCCTCTTTCCACTCAGTGAAATCTATTTTGAAAGACGGCATGGAGAACTGTTGGCTCACTCCTCGCTTGTAGTGTACAGTTTCAGAGACCAGTGATGGATTCTTTGGGCTGTACCTGCACACACAGTATGTTACAGAGAAGATGGTCAGTGTGCAGAAGCATACATGAATCTTGGATGTAAAGTGAACTCTGTTTCGTCAACTGGGCAATAACATAGGTTGACATTTAGACATTTATCAGTACGCAAAAACATTTTTCTTTTAATATCTTGTACATGTACTACTTTGTAGATAAACTATTATAATAGAAATAGATATTTTGGATTCTGGAGACATGTATCATCTTTCTGTCTCATGTAATTGTAACACAATAACTTCAGTACCAACTATTACTTTCATCTTCTTCTAAGTTTCATCAGCGGTAACCATGGCGACTGGAGGTTGCTAAGGAGCCAGTGTATCTATTCTAGTCTTTGTGCTCCAAGGCTTGAATCTTACAGATAGATGTGCCCTCTGTTTGTTTCATAAATCACAATTTGTATATTAAAAGACTACATAAGTGTCCAATTTCATTGGTTGAATTTTTAGCAGCTCACCCTTTGTGATAATAATGGCTGAAAATGTATTAGACTCATTAAAGCCCCATTAAAAAAGGAGTTTGAGAGCAGATTCTTACACTGCCATCCCATTGGAGAACTCCTCAAACGCCTGGCAGTAGAGGGTGATGGCCACCCGAGCGTCAGCATCAAAGGTGAACTCCACACCATACTGAACCTTTGGTTTTCCACCTTCCTCCACAGGTGTGTCAGAGTCATCTTTATACCTAGAATCAAAAGGTTTGACAAACTTTTAATTATTTTCCTTAAAAGAATTGTTAACATTTTACTGAGATTGGTGTGGTAATATTGCTCTGCTTTTTGTTACCTGACCAAACGCAGAGAGTCCTTTCTTATATTGACGAGACTCCTCAGGGTTTTGACAGGCTCGTGGGGTGCAGGCGTCACATATGGAAACTAATGAAAAAACAGCAATATGGATGATATTTAATTTGAAACTCAATGCAACATGGTTTGACTCATCCTATTACTGACAAGAAAGGTAGAACTATATCAAAGTCGTTTTTAAGCTGCTCTCAGATGAAAACTAAGAAAAATAAATATCAGTCTTTACCTGCACTGGCCTATTTCCAAGAAAGTTCAGGTCCATGTTTTCTCCAAAAAGATATCCCTCTGGATGTGGTGTGTCAAACTTTTCTCCTCCCATGAAGAAGTGGCTCGCAAAATAGTTCCCTGAAGACATGAGAAAAAACATGAAAAATAATGGCACTGCAAGCAAGCAACATGAAAAGGATGTATATACAGCTAGTTCAAATCACACAACATCATGCCAAGCTTTGTAGCATGGACATGGTAACTCAAATGTCTAAATCTGAAGAGATTTGTGTTTAATTACAATCATTGAAACTACCCATAAAACAAAACATATAATACAATCAAATAAATAAGGTTCAAAATAATTACTTTGTTTTAGTCATCATAGGTTTTTACTGAGATGCGGGGGTAACATGATGAGCTGAAGGCCAGTTGAAAGTAACATATGATGGGTTTGTATGGGTTCTAAACAGTCAGATGTATTAGTCTAACATTGACATGCCAGCTCCAAACTGTGTTTTTACCGTTTGAAGGTATCCTAATAATAAAGTGAAAGTGTTACAACCATGCAACACTTAACAGATACTTCTTTGTATAGCTTTGTAATCGCAGGCTAACAAGAACAAGTGCCTTAGAGATTTCTTATGCAATCTATACATTATTTGTTGATATGGGTGTCACTCTCTTAGTGTCAGTATGAGCTCGTGGATGATCAATTTAATGTGGATATAACACTTTTTGATTGTTTTGATGATTGTTTTTTTATTTCAGTGTTGGACATACATGTATTATACAGCATGATCACAATAACAATATATCAACCTTGAGATACATAAACGACTGTAAACATCACAATGCTTTCTGAATAACGGGTGACAAAGACAGTCACATCTCTGTATGTTCATATATATTTCTTATGATTGTCTAACAGTGTATTCTAGCTGATGAGAGTCAACAGCAAGGAAACACCAATTAGACCCTTATTTACGTTAGCGAGTGTATGCTCGGTGTCTCATTGTTTATTATTGCTTAGAGGATTCGTGGTTAAGGGATATCTGTATTCAGCCAAAAGACACTAGCGATCACCTACCAGATTTCGGTGGAAATCGATAGGCCGAGTTGGCCTGGATATCGATATCCTCAACACCAGCGATTCTGCGACTCAGGATGGACCCCATCTTCCTGGTGCTAGCTACAGTTAGCCTGGCAGCTATTCCGATTCAGTTCCGATGAACTCTCCCTTCAAACGTACACTAACGCCAAACAAAGATTATATCGACAAAGTACAAAGGGTGTCGTTAATCTGACATTTTACACGTTCAGTTTGCCCAGTGGCTATGTTGCGAATGCTAATGCTAACAGGAAACAAATAGAGAAGGCTGTTGTTTTGCCAGAGCTGTGCTAACGCAGCAGGGAGGCAACCTGATTGGCTTTCTCCAAGCGTTCCAGAGATTCAGGGCGTTCGCTTTCTGTTTGGGGACCGCCCGGCGGGGAGGAGATCAGGAGGGACGAAAGAGTAAAGCACGGTCTATAGTACGAACCGCTGCTCCATAATGAACAGCCCTGTAATAAATTGTTGCTTTGTGATGAATTGTTTTTGTAAAATCACCACTCTCATGTAATTTATTTTTTCATTCTGTACGTTTTAATCTGAAGTGTGTTATTTGTTTGACACCATGGGGCGTGTTGGTTTACTGCCCTCCAGTGGTCACAGTAATGTACAACTACATCAATGTTATCAGATGAGACATCTTTATTCATCCCACAGAGGGTACAACTACATTTGTACAGCAAGTAAAGAGCCAAAGATAGCATATTATTAATTAATACGTATGTATAAAATATAGAAATGACAAAATTCACAATTTACAAAATACTCATCTAGTACCAATAAAATAATAAGACAAGTTAGAGACAAATAATATCTGCAGTGTCATAGTGGTACAAACAATACATATAAAACAATACACATTTCCAAATATAAACACAACAAATATGTTTACATTTAAACTTAACTAATATTTTCAAACTTCATTTGGCAACATTATTGCAAAATGCAGGTGCAGGTATTGTCATTACGAGAAATTGAACATATAAAATATAAATGGTGTGGTTGAGCAGCTTGGAGAAGATTATTTAAGATCATGCTATCATTTAAAAACATCCAAATGCTTCAAATAGATATCTATAAATCTTAATCTATCCAACATTGAAGTGAACAGAAACAACATTTAACTGTTTAAAACTGTATTGATTAATTTGTGCAATAAAAAAGGCAGTTAGAATTATACTTACAAATGATGCAGATCATACAGCTTATAGAACAGGGGTCGGCAACAGGCGGACCGCGGTCCGGATCCGGACCCAGACGCCGACCTATACGGACCCGGACCTATAATCAATACATTAATAGGGGATTTCAATTTTGACGGGGCGATTCTATTTTAACCGCTGCCGACAGGGGTCGAAAGAGACGAGTGAGCGATACAGGGAGAGAAACACAGAAGAAGAGATGAGAGCGGTAGAGAGAAGCGGAGAGGAAAGTGAGTAAAGAGAATAATTAGCGATACAGGCAGAGAAGACGGAGAGGAGAGTGAACAGGCGTGTTAGCGGCAGACTGAGGGTGTTTCTCAATCGCGAGTAAAGCTGCTTCAGAGCCACTATTTCAAGCATACTACGTCATCGAGTGCCGCCGAAGTACTGTTCCAATCTCCAGTATACTTGGAAATCTACCGAGCCCGGCGTACTCCGTTTGGAGAAATATCGAGTGTGCACATGAGTAGACTTCGCGGCCTTAAAATCCCCACAATGCTTTGCGCACGGACCAATTTCCCCAAATCTGTGGCGGAAGATGTAAGGCGGGGCCTCTCATATGACGCACACCTGCACACTTGCTAGCCTGTTCCACATTTCGTTTTCCGAATGGCAGGAAGTATTCTTGACTCGCTTCTGAAGCAAGATGCTCGGCAGACATGTGCTACCAAGCAAGCGTACTCGCGATTGAGAAACACCCAGGGAGAGACAAATAATGACACATGGCTATGGAGCTAATTTCCTGCCATAACTCCACAAACAAACTAAACAGGTTTTACAAATGCCTTATGATTCACTAACAAACACAATGTGGTTTGCAAATACAAAACACCATCTACAAACTAATGCATTTAGTTTTGCAAAGAAAAAACGTATCTATCAAACAAACACATAACATTTTTCTAATAAATCATGTTTCAGAGACAAATTCAGCTTAGGTTTTACAAGTACACAAATTTTTTTTACAAGTGCACAAATTTGTTTTACAACTACAACACTTTGTTTTACAACTACAAAACTTTTTTTTACAAGTGCACAAATTTGTTTTACAACTACAACACTTTGTTTTACAACTACAAAACTTTTTTTTTACAAGTACAAAACTTTTTCTTCTCACGGCGGAATATTACTGCCAAAAGTCACGTGACTGGAATATTACTGCCAAAAGTCACGTGACTGAGTCACGTGACTTTTGGCAGTAATATTCCGCCGTGGTTGTGCTCATACACACTCACACATGCTCACTCACACATGCTCCACGGCAGCAGGGGGCACTACTGAGTCCATTGGGAAGGCGGGAGGTTGAGCAGAGCATGGAACAGCTCTTGCCAGCCTGATCATGACAGCGGTGTTTCTAGCGATCCAGCATCTGAATTTAGCGATCACAACGAAAACAGCCAAGACACATATTGAGCCCAGAAAATGAATGTTCTTAGGGCTGTAAATATAATAAGCCTTTGTCTAAAATAGACAACATTGTAACTAAGGAGATTTAAACTATATATACAGCCAGGGGACGTTCGGGACGAATCCCGATGGGCCGGTACTGAAGTGGGCCGGTCGGATAAGTCACTGCTCACCCCCCCTTCCCCCCCGTCGACAATTTCCTCGCGGTATTTACTTGCGGCACCACCGAGGTGGGCCGCTTACTTACGGTACCGAGGTGGGCCGGCGGTACCGAAGTGGGCCGGTACGAGTCCCGGGCTGATTTGTAGTCCCAGTCCGCCCCTGTATACAGCGATTCTGCACTCGGTCAATCAGCTGCTTTTCATTTTTATTCCTGCTATATTCAATGAGTGATACAAATATTTGTTACCACAAGTTCTTAATAAAACTGACACTGTTGGACTTGGTACTAGTTGACTGCAACCAGAAATAAAATGAAGTACTTTACTGTGTACTTTGTGAGTAATCCTCTGTCAGAGTCCCCTCCATAGTAGGCTACATAATGCATGTTTTCTGTGGACTCTCAGCTTTTCATATGATATAGTTTGTGCAGATAGCATGAAGTATAAAAATATCACTACCAGTGCTGATTAAAACACTTGGTGTTAGACTTATGTTTTGTTTAGGTACAAATCTCTCTATCTCTAAAAAGCAGTCATTAAGAAGAAAGGGATGGAGATCTGGCAGAAAAGGTGGGAGAAAGACCAGAAAGGCAAAGAGTATCATAAAGTTCAAAAGACAATTACAATTAATATTTATAAAGAAAGAAACAGAAGGGAGGAAATCATGATAGTTAGACTCAGACTGGATCACACTGCATTGAATGGTACTCTGTATATCATGGGGACAAGTGACAGTGATAAGTGTAGGAGGTGTGGAGTTAAAGAACATGTCGAACATATCTTGTTACATTGTGACATCTATAAAGCTGAAAGAGAACAACTAAAGGCTAAAGTTTTAGAGGCAGAGAGGGAGTGTGGTTGGTGTTTTGGGAACAGAAGGAGAGGGAGTAAGAGCTACCAGAAAGGCACTGTTTACCTTTCTGAGGGAAACTGGGGTAGGAACAATAATTTAACATTAGGTCAGGAAAGATCATAGATTTTTATTTTGTTTTGTTTTATTTATTTTATGTTTTTTGTTGATTTATTTATTTTTTGATTAGATCATAGATAGATACGTCCATGAGTTAAGAGATGGAATGATATGATGATTCACACTCATGTACAGTAGGTGGCGGTATGCACCTTTAAAGTTGTTTGCAATCCGCCAAAAACCGAGAGAAGAAGAAGAAGATCTGATACCCGGGTTGCGTTCGAATACTCCAAAAAAACAGCTCCTAAGTTCTAACCCTATCGTCTATTCCTTGACCTCGGAGTGAAACGTCATGGGGTTAAGGGATAGTGGATAGGAGAATTCAAAAGGATTTAGGAGAAGAGACTGCGGCACTTTAGAGAATCCGACTGCACTTTCACTATCCGACGTGTTTATGATGCGCCAGCAGAGGTCATAAATGTGCGCCTGCTGCTGTGGGGAAACTATGGAAACTACAGTTTTCTATACAGCGGACTACAACATGGATGTTTAATAAGAACGAGGGACTACTGTAAACTCATCTAGAGACTCTGCACCGTGCTCTGATGCTGTTGTTTTATGCTTTATGAACGGGGACAACAGAGAAACATATTCTTCATGACCAAAGTTGGAATTGAAATAAAAAAGGAAAGTGAAACTTATGCTCGTCACCCTCTCCCTCCGGTCCACATTAATACAAATGATCCCAATACATATGATTGTATGAAAAGATCTTAAAATCAATACAAATGTATTTATTATAAACGTTAGTCCTTAACATCTATCACTGTGTATATCACCATTCAAACATCTTTTAAAAGTTGAACAAACCCCACACAGCTCAGTAAAGACTGTGAAATGTTGACTTTATTTGATCATTTCAGTAAAAACTAACGTTCATATTTCTCTTTTTGATTATAATACTGATGAACGTTCAAAACAAAGCACTTTGGCAACTTACCACATACGTTTTAAAATGCTTAATAAGCACCGTAACTTTCATGATATCATTTCTCGTTCATAATCGGTTGTTTCCGTGAACGGCCGACTGTTGTGTGACGGCAAATGCTGCGGCCGCAAGGCATTGTGGGGCAGCATTTTCTCCTCTCCTTTCGGTTAGGGAGGTCCAGTGGTTCCTAGGCTAAAGGAGGTTATAAAGGAAGTTTGAAACCTCCTTTCCTTTTAATTTAGAGAATTCGAACGGCACTTATCATGGCTGCCACTGAGGGACTTCCGGGTCATTTCACTCCGTTAGGAAGGTTCCTAAGCTAAATGGACTATTCGAATGCAACCCCGACCTCATTTCACAATGAGTGGCCAACAGGTGAGTTTGTTGATTTCTCTGGTGAAAAAGCCAATGTTAACTCAACTAAGTTACTGTTTCATGAGTATGAGCAGACTGCAGGAGCTAGTTTACAACAAGCTTGGCTAATTTTCGTTTTTTTATTTTCTTTAGTAATCGGTTCTTGTAAACATATATGTAAATGAATAAATACATAAATATATATATATATATATATATATATATATATATATATATATATATATATATATATATATATATATATATATATATATATATATATATATAGCCATCAGTAGACTACATGAATGAGACAAGTCTTTGTGGTTAGTTGAAAAGTCTGTAATAACCATACCGCTAAAGACAGGGATTCTGTGATTTTATGAGAAAATCTGTGAAATGATCGTTTGTTGCCTCGTCTAACATGTATTTGCTTATTCTACTATACCACCCGATTAGCACCATAGTTATAGTCTTCTATTTGCTTGTGTTCCAATCATTTTTAAACAGTATTGTGTTGGTGCTGCCTGTGTTTTGCCCACAAGCTACTATGTGGCGCCAACCGTGACGTCAGATAGTTTGATCCTATTGGTTCAGTGTTAGTGTCAGTTCAAATAGGGTGTGCAAATTACCCAATTTATAACTTAAACTGTTTTCAAACTAAACAGAGGGCACTAACACTTTATGCAGATAGTGGACCACCAGCAGTGGCGGCCGGTCCATAGGGGCGCTAGGGGCGCCGCCCCACCTCTTCCCATATTAAAAAATAAAAATAAAAATAAAAATAAAAATAAAAAATATATTTAAAAAAAAATATATATTTTTATTTTTATTTTTAATGAACAAGGTAAATATTATATAATTGGTATCAGTAAAATGTATAATCTACAATAAAATCTCGTTTACAATTGTGTTTCCTGCCTGGCCTTGCCCGTGTACCTTCTCTCGTCTGGGCGCTAAGAGAGGAGCCCTCAACCAGTGCAGCAGCAGCCACTAGCAGCTGACTGTTGCTATCTGTAACGTGTAAACTATGCCGCGAAAACATAATTTCAGCCAATCAGCGTCGTCAAATATGATGGTCACAGGGCTCCTACGTGAGCGCCCGGTGCAGTCTGTGAGTTGTTTGGACTCGTATCCAAGGAGACAAAACAGGAAGCTGTCATACACTCTGGAAGCTACTAACTAAGCAGCTAATGAAAACTCCGTTTTTGACATAAAAATTGAATTATGGATCATCAATCATTTTTCAAAGTGACAGACACATTGGATTAACCTATGGATTAACCATCAGCTGCGTTTTTCTCGTTTTTGATCAGAATTGTTATTCTGCAAAAGGTGAGCATATCTCCATGTTTTGCTACCTAAAGCTACGTCTTGTGATGTCTGTATTTGCTTCCCCTGTCGCGACTCGCGAGTTCTGATCGCTCAGTGATGATACTTATATTTCTAGAATATGTGGAATCTCAGCTTGTAAACTTGTTTGTGCATATCCGATAAGTATATCGATTGATTTATACCTAGAGTGCGTTAGCATTTTTTCGCTCAGGGCTCATTTAGACGCTTCTTGTGAGACTTGTGTTTTGTTTCGGTAAACATGGTTCATATCATCAGTTAGATGCGTTTCCTCTGAGTAGGACACATGAATAGTTTATTACATTTTAAGAAGCCCTGAGACACAGTTTCGTGAGAAAAAAAACAGGGGAAAAAAGCCCCTTAACAGGTTAAATGGGAATTAAATCAGTGTTCCCAAAGCCCCGGTGTTCTGCAGTTTGTGTGGGCCTACTGTACTGTTGCACAGTTTATGCTGTAGAAACTATGTCCAGGACAAGGTGTTTGGAAGTTTTGGAAGATTCATAGCTAACCACACTGAAGTTATGGAGGTATTGATCAGTCTTCTCATATTTTTAAGCCTCAAATTGTCCTTCTCCCCCCCGCTCTAACATCACCAGAAGTCATGATTTAAGGGGTCTTTTCTCAAAAAAAAATTACCGGGGGAGCATCCCCCCGGACCCCTCTCGTATTGTTTGATCACCATCTCCACAGCCCCACCTAAAATATTTTCCACCAGCCGCCACTGACCACCAGGTACACATTTCATATTGGTTATCTGCCAATATCACATAGAATATAGAAACTTATCAGCAGGGGTTAAATTGGGTTCTCTTATGTGGGTATATTTACAATGAAAACTGAAAATAAACTTAATGTGTACCCAATTCAACCCCTGCTTACCCGCCATGGTTAAATATCTAAGTTACCAAAATGCTTCACCTCACACTTGTTCATCCTTTTCTTCTATCTCTAGGAATTGCTCGTACAAAGCATGTTGGAGAGGCTCCATACACGAGTTCTACATGTTGTCCGTCAGCAGCCACTTGACATCGATTACCTTGAGTTTGTCTGTTCTCAGGAGGTTGTTCTTTTTAGTGCTCTCTCTAATCAGGTTCTCATCCCAAAGGCTATTGTAGATGCACTCACAGAGCTACACAAGTTGGTTGTTGAGGAAAGACAAAATAGGGTCCCCAAAGTATTAGTTCAGGTTACCCATGGAGTCACTGGGCGTCCAAGATTTGATTTATCTCCAGATTCCCTGTTACATCTTCTTGACCTGGGTCTTCCAGTGCCCTGTATTGCTAACCTAATGGGAGTGTCCACTCGTACTATTTACAGACGAATGTCAGAGTCTGCCTTCTCTGTCAGAGCACTCTATAGCACCTGTTCAGATACAGAGTTAGACAATTTGGTAACTGACATTAAAAAAGACATGCCTCATGCTGGGTACCGCCTGGTTAAGGGAACCTTGCAGTCCAGAGGATTCAGAGTCCAGTGGGAGAGGGTTCGGGCCTCCATGCACCGTGTGGACACTGTAGGCATCCTTTTCCGAATGAACCAGCTAGGGTGTATTGTGCGTCGCACCTACTCAGTTCCTGGTCCCAAATCCCTGATGCACATTGACACCAACCACAAGCTGATTCGGTGTGTATAATTCCATTTGTAACACAATATTGACCAAAATTGTAGGCCACATTTTTATTTGAATGTTTAATAATTGTTCAGCCCAAATATGTGTCTTATTATAGTTTCTTTCATTTAATCAGGTACAACATTGTCATATTTGGTGGTATTGATGGCTTTTCAAGAAAGGTATGATTCAATAAAAAAAGAAAAACATTAAACGAGACATCTATAAAAGGATACGTTTACATCCTTTTTTATTTAACTTTTTAGATCATGTTCCTGGGTGCAGCAAACAACAATCTGGCCTCAACAGCCCTTGCCTTCTTTCAGAAATCAGTGGACAGATATGGATTTCCATTAAGGTAAGTGACAATACATGGGTCCTTTCATGTCAACTTGAGACAGAAGTCAAGACTACATTTTGACACCCCATATTTGTCAATTTGACAAATGTAAATTTAACTTAGAATAACAGAGATTAGGGACTCAGAGTGTTCATGGACAAGTATGGAACATCAATTTGTAACTAAAGAGTAAAGAACTGAAAAGGTTTTCATGATTATCATGTTTTTGTTGGCTTTTATAATAGTGTGTCTATATGATATGTTTATAAAGATCATTTAAAGACAAAGAGAAGATAAAATGGTTTGGACCACATTTAATCACGCACTATAAATGCTATTAATTTGGTAGGGTAAGAGCAGATCACGGAGTTGAGAACGTTGACATTGCACGGCTGATGTTCTCTGTCAGGGGAACAGGAAGGTCCAGTTTCATCGCTGGAAAGAGTGTGCACAACCAAAGGCAGGTTCAGTCGCACTTCTATATATCAAAGCTAGTTTTTCTTTTTGTATCATGCAACATCATTATTACTTGAATTGATATCTCAGCACTGTGTTTTAACTTCCATCACTGGTTAAAAAACATGGAATAATAAAGCATAAATGTATGTAAACCATATCTTACAAACTATCCTTCCAGAATTGAACGCCTCTGGAGGGACGTGTGGTGTGCTGTGACCAACGTATTCTACAACGCGCTGCACTCGCTAGAGGATGATGGTTTGCTTGACCTGTCAAACTTTGCACACCTCTTCAGTTGTCATTACGTTTTTCTGCCCAGACTACAAGCTAGTCTTGATATATTTTGTGGTGGTTGTGATAACCACCCACTCAGTACTGAGGGAAACTTAACTCCTAATCAGTTGTGGCACATGGGAAGCATCCAGCATCCTGTGGCAGAACCAGAAAATGTGGAGGTAAAGGGGGCATCATCGTGCCATCTATTATGATAAAAAATGTATGGGAATATTTCAACATGGTTTGAACTATTCAAGTATATCACATACAATGTAATACTAAACATACAGTATCTTATAATATCTGGGTCCCTAGGGCAAAAATCTTTTTATTTGTCGTCCACAATGAAAATCAACTTGTTCGGGCATAACCTGAAAATTGTTACAGTACACCCTTGCTCTAACAAACAAACAAAACTCCTGCACACAAGAATATTTTGCATGCTCATGTCTTACTAGTGAGTATATATATTTCACATTTGGACATTTAAGTTATTTTTTAACTATTTGTTTTAGTTTAAATCTGCAACTGGTTTTCATGTATCACATTCTGGTATCTTTCTTTTAGGAATTATACCTCCCTCATCTTGACTGGGAGGACAGTGGCCTGCCTGATGATCCACACCATGGGGTCACTGTTCCTGAGACAGGCCATTTGTTGAGCCATCAACAAGAGGCAGCACTGGGGGCAGCCATAAATCCCCTGGCACAGTCCCAATCACATGGCTCAGACATTTATTTAGCTACTGTCCAGTATGTCCAACACCTTCTAGGCTTACAGTAAAAGCACAATACACTTGCAACAGACATGTTGAGTAAGGTAAAATTATCTGAACTGAGCAAACAAGAACATTGAACAGTTGACTATAGCTTTAGGTACAAGCTGTGGTATAACAGTCACACATTTTGCTAACAACATTTACACCAGCCCAAATCCAGTGTCATTTGTGCTGAGACACGCCATCAACTCTTTCTTGAATGTTGGGTAGTCTTGGTAGTGGGCAGGAATACGGATTGTTTCAAAGCATGTGGATGACTTTGGTAGGCCACCGTTAATCACCTCCACTGTGAGGGTACTGGAAGGAGCCTCCCATCCAACCCAGAACTTTACAAGTTCCTTCAACTCATCACTGGATGCTGCAGAAAAAAACAATATATAAATACATAAATGCTTGCAGTAAAGGAGAATGCTGCACTTGATACACATTTCGCACAAGAACAAAACCAACTACAATTCTTGTGTCAGGTACTGGGAAGAAGGGTGGCTGAAATCTAATACATTTGGATTTGGATTAAATACACTGCACAAATCAATATTAAGGTGCTCTGACTCTTTAATCTGTTTGATAAGGCTAGAAAGATAAGACTCAGATCTGGTGTTGTAGACTACATTGTAACTAATATGACACGTTTGTTCTTCGACTAGGATAGATAAGTGGATAATGAGAACACATGTGAATGCATTACACTTAAAACATACATACAGTACATGCATCAATCATTGCATGAAGGAAATATACCATCTTGAATGAAGCGACGAAGGTATCCTGTGACACGGCTCTTATCTTCCAAAGAGCATTCATCATCATCATCACCAACGTCAATCATGGTCGGCCAGTTGATGCGGTCAAGAATGCTCTACATACAAAAACATCACACAGACAAGCCATCTGGAATAAATAATTTTTCTGCAGTTTGGAAAATGTTTCTGATTGAACACTTCATTTCCAGCTATGATCAATACTACCGGTCTTATTAGACGTATTTACCTCTGGGGTCAACACAGCACTTGACTCCTGTGGAAAAAGAATTGGAGCTGCATCTGGACGTTGATTAATGAGGGGCCACAGCATAGTGTCTTTGAGTCCTTTTCTGATTTGCCTCATGGCTCGTCCAATTACCTGTTGAGATAAAATACAAAAACAAATCTTTATACCTTCAGTGGGATAAAAGTGTCATACAATATGTTTAATAGTTTCAACAGTATTCAATACCGCATGATAAAGAAGTCTCTCAAAGAGCCATCGCCGCTTGTCGTTAGACATCACAGGAAGGTCCCATGCCAGACACAAGGTGTTCACACTCTCCTTCTCAGCAGCTGAGAGTTCGGAGTTCCCTTCGAGCTTAAAGACACAATATGGACACACTTAAACCAAATCTAAAATGTGTTCAAATATGAATCATGTGCAATTTGCAGAATACACACTATCTGGATTTTCTCCCTTAGATCCATGTCTGGACAGTCACGGATGCTAATGGTGGCAGTTTCAGCTGTGCCTCCACACAGGATATGAACAACAGCTGGGCTTAGGCCTGTCAGTGCAGGACCTCCATGCAGGAAGCAATGGCCAATGATTCTGCCCACCATCAGAAAAAGGTCACTCTCAACCAAGAATGCAGACGATGAAGGCACAAGGTGGTCTGGCTCTCCATCGAACAGCCTTGTGACACAGCAATTTCCTGTGCAAACAGAAAAAATCCGTGGAACAATGATCATGTATTATATTACTCAGCAATTCTGTGGTTGTACAGAATAAAATACATTAAAATATATATGTAGGTCTGATCGTATCTTAAATATGTTTTTATTGGATAAATTATAGATGGATTAGGAATATTGCAGCATGAACACACTTCAACATATATATAAAACACCCTACCAAAGTTCAAGTTAAAACCCTCTTTCAGCTTCTGCATCACTCTGGAAAACCAGTAGCGGTTCACTCCCTCTCCGATTGCAGGATCACCTAGCAATTATAAGAAATGTAAATATTCTGGGTATTTATTTGTAAAAAAAACAACTGCACTAAAACAAAAAGGGCAAACCTTCAAGTCTGCATTGCATAGGATTTGCCCACTCTACATTGCGTGCCTTGTAAAATGCAATGAAAGCCATTTCTTGGTCTGAGATGCTGTCTCCCAGGTTAACATGCAAACGCAGCGGCTTCCCTGATGCATGAATGTCCAGCATTGTTTCTCTGTACAACCGAGCAGCCCTGGCTGGGTCTGGTATAGTTTTCCAATCTATAATTTAATAAAGATTTCAAAATGTCAAAAGCAATAAACCAAAGGTTTTAAACTAGGACCACTAGCAGGTTGTTACAATACACAACACACCTTCAGTTGTGTTGGCAGGTCTAGAGGGTCCGGCAGAACTTGTTGGCTGATTTTGCCATGGTGTCATCTGTGAAGATGTGGCAGATGGTTCTTCCAATGCCTCTACATCCACTCCGGCGCCACCATACGAAAGCCCTTCCAGAGTTGATGTCCTCAAAGACAAAATATTCTCCATATTGAAATATTACACATGTACAATTGAGTCCAAAGTTAAATTCAAAAGTGGTCTAAAGCTGTAGGGAAATAATGAAAATACTCCAAGTTCTGATGTTTTCCTCCACTTTATAAATTCTGGAACGACCTGCATGTCCTCTGTCTTTTAGCGGTCCCTTTAAGTTGTACATATGTGTGCTATCTCAGATTGCATGGTGAAATAGAGATTTTCTATTATACTCAAGTCTAGAGATCGGTGAGGCCACGGCAAAACTTTGACTTTATTGTTTCCCATAAAGTATTGTTTTCCACAACAGCCTGGAGTAATGTGAAATATTTATACTCATTAGTAACCATGTTAAATGCTCAGCATATTTTGTGTAATTTTAAGGAAAGAAGAATTCAAACTTTGAAACAGTTCAAATTCAAACAGTTATCTATGATTACTGGATATGTGAACTTGTATGCATCTGATGAAAAAAGGCTCATTTGTTAAGCCTCAAGGCTAAACTATACAGGACAACAATATACCTCTCAACGCAGGCACTGGCATGCATCTCGATGATGTCAGCAGGGTACACTACTTGGCATATGGGACACTCTTTCTCACTCGCGACTGGGGAAGCTGAAAAAATACAGTGAGTAGCATTAGTTTAATACAGGTGTAGCAATGAAAGAAAAATGAAGCCAAAATAACTCTGACAACGGCTCTGAAATTTCAAATATAAATGATCTGCGCAAGCAGAGGAAACATTTCAACAACAACTTTGTGGTCACTGGGAAACAAATAAGAAAGACATAGAAGGAAGCAGATCAGACTAATGACTAGAACAATTATTATATGAATAAGTACACCACAAGTGAAGTTATATATTATCATTGATGAGTGTAGCATAGAATTATGTTAAGTTTTATTTTTTTGTGTCATGAAAGTGTATTCACACTTACTATTGTCTTGATCATCATGGTCTTGCTTTTCATCTGAATCTTCATCAATTTCCTGTTAAGTGGATCAGATTTACAAACGTTATATGACAATACTATAGTTTGGATATGCACTCACTGAAAAAAAAGATTCAAGAACAAGGTGCTTTAGCTCAGCAAGGTCTCATGTAAAGAAAAAACCTACTTGTTCAGTATCTTCTGCAGACTTGCTACAAGACTCAACATGTAGAGCAAGAAACTGTAGGGGTAACGTTTCTCCACAGGTCCTGCATTGAGATGTAGGCATTTTGCTGAACTCAGGGGCATCAGCGGGAAGAGGCGTGGTGTCTAGTTCCTCTTGAAGTGGAATAACGAAAAGCGTGTGTTTTCCATTATTTGAAATGCCCTTTAGCATTTTTGCTGTGTAGCCTTCGGACTCGGGTGGGATCACAGAAAGTTTTCTCTGGCCACTTCCTCCTTCAGTATTTTTGAAAGTGGGAAGTGAGCATACATCAATTTATTTGTATTTGTTTTCAACATTGATTAAAACATAAAAACAAAAATGGAGTTTAAAATCTCAACCCATTATAGTTGTGTGACACCATTTTTAAATAATGCTGAATCTGCTTACCCGATGCTTTATAAATTAGCCATCCACCAGTCAAAGTCTCCAGTTTCGGGTATTCAGCCGAAAGAAATGTTGAAATCTTAGTAGGAAGACAATATACAACAAGGACAAAAAACAAAACATTAGCACTACAAATCGTATTAAATTACCATGGCTAGCCTCTTAATGAAATATAATTATTTTAATGGTCACCTCTGCATGGTTGCTCTGTTCAGGCAATGCTATAAGGCGTTTACCTAGGCCTGCCATCAACAGCCTGAGCTCCTGAATCCCTTGTGGAGTTCTGCTAACGGGTTTTGGGAGCAAATAAAACTGTACATTAAGGGTCTTTGTGGATGTGGCTGAAACTGTTCTCAGTGGCGCAGGAAATCTACGTTTGCCACTGGTTCGCTCTCTTCTGAAGAGACCTGGAAAAGACCTGGAAAGAAAATTGAAAGGCATGTCATACACAATCTTAACTACCAACCATACTTTATACATTGTAGCAACATTGTAATTTTTCTAACTTTGCCATCTCCTGCATTGGCCGGCCTCACTCTCAACTCCTGACTAGTTCCCTGGCTGGAAGACTGGCCCTGATTCTGAACCTGAACCTGGGGCTGGCCTTGATCCTGAACCTGCCCTTGGCTGACTGTTGCTGTTAAAAGAGACAGCAAGTTCCGTGCAGCAGTTTCTATGTGTGCATACTCTGGCTTCTGGAAACAAATACATACAAACAAGAATAAATAAAACAGTATAATGTGTTTTTTGAATTAGCTTAAAAGCAGTTTTGAGCAAAGAACACGTTTGTATCTGTAAAGTGAGAGAACTTAAACAGATGATATCAAAATCCCTAACTAAAACACACATTTTGCACATTATCTTACACACATTATAGATTATGTATTATCTTACTCTGTTACAAGTAAAAGTATAAAAGTCTTATCATCAAAATATAGTGAAAGTAGCGACAGTAAAAGTAGTCATTGTGCAGATTGGTCCATTTCAGAATAATATATATGATATGTTTTATAATGATTGATCATGAAAGTGTTCTCAAAGCTGGTAAAGGTGCAGCTAGTTTGAATGACTTTGTATACTGCAGGGTAGCTTGTGAATTTACTCCAGGTGGAACTAAAGTCTGATTTAACACTTGATTATATTTCACATCATTCATCCACATCTGTAAAGTAACTAAAGGTATTAAATACATGTAGTGGAGTAAAAGTACACCATGTACATCTGAACTGTAGTGGAGTAGAAGTACAACATTTACCTCTGAATGGTAGTGGTATACAAAAAGTACCAATACAAATACAGTTGAAGTACCGGATCGATAAGCAGTATCGGTAAGAGTAGTAGTAGGCCTACCAATAAAAGCTTTACTATACCCATCCCTAGTTCCAACAGCTGTGATAGTTATTGAGTTATCTTTGTAAAAAGCGGGCACTCTCCAATACAACAATAAACAATAGGAGTGTCTTGGTGGAGACCTCATGGATATGTGTAATTTACACAGCGGCTTTCAACCACAACGTTTTTATAAACATTGAATCACTCAATATGTAAATTGGTCGGTGCAGGTAAGCATTCTCTGGCTGAGGGACAATCTAATTATTAAGACATGCTCAACTGGGGCGGTAGCTTAGTCCTCATCCTAAATCAGAACCAAAACGAAAATTAGCCTAGCTTGTTGTAAACTAGCTCCTGCAGTCTGCTGATACTCATGAAACAGTAACTTAGTCGAGTTAACATTGGCTTTTTCACCAGAGAAATCAACAAACTCACCTGTTGGCCGCTCATTGTGAAATGAGTTCGGGTAACAGATCGCTGGATCACTAGAAACACCTGTCATCAGACTGGCAAGAGCTGTTCCATGCTCTGCTCAGCCTCCCGTCTTCCCAATGGACTCAGTAGCGCCCCCTGCTGCCGTGTAGCATGTGTGAGTGAGCATGTGTGAGTGTGTATGAGCACAACCACGGCGGAATATTACTGCCAAAAGTCACGTGACTCAGTCACGTGACTTTTGGCAGTAATATTCCAGTCACGTGACTTTTGGCAGTAATATTCCGCCGTGAGAAGAAAAAGTTTTGTACTTGTAAAAAAAAGTTTTGTAGTTGTAAAACAAAGTGTTGTAGTTGTAAAACAAATTTGTGCACTTGTAAAAAAAAGTTTTGTAGTTGTAAAACAAAGTGTTGTAGTTGTAAAACAAATTTGTGCACTTGTAAAAAAAATGTGTGTACTTGTAAAACCTAAGCTGAATTTGTCTCTGAAACATGATTTATTAGAAAAATGTTATGTGTTTGTTTGATAGATACGTTGTTTCTTTGCAAAACTAAATGCATTAGTTTGTAGATGGTGTTTTGTATTTGCAAACCACATTGTGTTTGTTAGTGAATCATAAGGCATTTGTAAAACCTGTTTAGTTTGTTTGTGGAGTTATGGCAGGAAATTAGCTCCATACATGGCGCTCTCCAAGAAGAGGAAAGTGGACAGTGAGAACAGAGCTTTTAACCCTGAGTGGACGGACTCATTCATGTTCATCCTGCCCACTGGGAGCACAGAACCAGTGTGTCTCATTTGTTCATTGACCGTGGCGCTCAAGCAGAATACAAAAATCAAGTAACTGTATTCAGCTCGCGTTATATTTGAAAAACGAGTAATCTGATTACAGTTACTTTCGTAAACCTGAAGTGAATACATTTTGGAATACTTATGGGAATTATTGGTGGAAAAGTTTCCTCATAAAATGTAATAGTCATTACCAGCAGAACTGTGTGCACACTGCACAGTGCTGCAGCGTGTCTGTGAGCGAGAGAGAGATGCAGCGTGTCTGTGAGGCCCCGCCCCCGCACGCAGATCAGAGAGAGATCTCTTTTAAAATATATTGAAAGTTAGAAACGGAGATGGTTCGATAAAATGTGCAAGATAACGTTTATGTAGCATTTCTTTATTGTCGAAATGATGACATTTCATAACGGGATCAAATCAAAGTGAATGGCCTGCTGAATGCATGGGGCAAGTGACTGGAAACAGTTTTAAAAGTTATTACGTCGTTTCAGATAATAAATAATAATGCTAATTCATTCTATTTAGGGGCGCCTTTCAAAGCACCCAAGGACACCTGACAATTCATAACATATTCTAAGGAAAGGTTTAAGAGAGTACAAATAATGCAGTCCGGGTGATGTTTTTTATGTGGGGTGCAGATGAGAGGGAGCTGTCCAGAATGACACCAAGATGTTGTGTTTGAGTTGTGCTCTTGATAAGCCATTACAACAGTAAAATAAGTGTCTCCTGTTCACCAAAACATACCCATCTGTTATGGAAAAATAAAGTATTCCAAAAGTATTCTAAAAGTAATCTGAATACGTTACTTTTTTAAGACACGTAACTGTAACTGTATTCGGATTACTTTCAGAGCCATGTATTCAGTATTCAGTAACCGATTACATTTACAAAGTAACCCTCCCAACCCTGATTAAAAGTGCCAAAACGCCACTATGAGACAAAACACAAAGTGTTTGACCAAACATTCCCTCTCAAGTCAGAACTGAGGTCACAAAAAATAAGCAGTCTCAGAGCCCAATATGATCAGTCCACCAGGATCAAAATTAAAACTAAATATCGTTCCAGGGCAGGCTAACCAATGAGCACCTGCATGTGTGTATGAGAATGGCCCTGACACAATTTCAGCCCAGATTTAAACTCCTGGCAGGACAAGCTCAAGCTCAATTCTCGCACTGAATTAAAACAAAGTGAGCGAGGGACTGCAATATAAGAGGGAAAGAAAGAGAAACTTTAAAACTGTTCAATTGTTATGATGTGTAAAGACTGATATTGTTCTATAATTGTCTGAAACTGTTAAGTCATGATGTGAAACGGTTAACAAAGCTATTTTATTTATTTCTCTATTTTATTTTTAAATGCAGCCCGAGAGGAACATTACACATATCCACAGTATTTATTTACTGTATATCAGTATAGTTCAATGTTCATTGACAATAAATATTGTTGTTTTTGAATTGTACTTTCTTTATTTGATTGGCAGTCAGTTGTTGATGAAATGCAGACGTTGATAAAGCTACAGGCTACTTCAATATATATCACACTAATTCATAAAGCAAGTTAGACATTTTGATGTTCCGGACCTTTGCATGGGGACATTTTCTCTAACTGGACCTTGTTGAATTTTAGTTGAATACCCCTGTTATAGAATGTACTTCATTTATTCTGTATACACAACGGACTCAGCTGATCTCATTTATGTGATTAAAGTGTCAGATTTGGCAACATACAGTAGAACACAAATACAGTAATTGTCTTCATCAGATAAAATCAAAATTTCATCTGATAACACTTGGATTTCATTGGATGAAATGTCCACTTTGGTTTCTTAGTGCTTTTTCATCTTCCTCTCTGGAAAAATTGGCGTCTCAGGATAGCTTTGTTTTCTTCCGATATCTTCAAACCTTCGCAGAGGAGGTCATGGATCGTCTGCATTGAATCCACCTCTGATCTCCAAAGTGCTGCTCTGGCTCTGATAAACTGTGAGACCTCATTCTCGCTTCCTTTGGCCAGACTCATGCTATCTTTACAGATGAAGAAGATATCCATGCCGAGGAACAGAGAATTGAGCCCAATGAGACCGGCCCTGGCTGACTTGGAGAGGGCAAGAGGCCCTTTGACTGCTGCCTGACCGATATCTGGGATATCTGACGCCACCCTGGGAACGCTGCGTAAAGCTTCCCCTTCCTGCACTGCCACTTTACCAGCACTCACAGCCAGCTCTTCACTTTTTAACAGCTTGAAAGCAGAGGCTGCATCAACTAATGAGTCAATACCTTTTCCAGTAACACCTACTTTAGCTAGCACCTTGCCGACCCCGAGAACAACATCTATGCAGATTTTTTCTCTTTTGGTGACCTCCTCCAGACAATCCTGGAGACACTGCATATCCTCCATGAAGCTCTCGAATACTTCTCTGGCTTTCTTTTGATATGTACAGTTTACTCCAATCTCTGTGGCGGTGGTGACAGCGCTGTTGACTCCGCTTGTAATTCCCATGCCTACCCCGGTCATTGTCAGAGCCAAAGACACTCCAGCTGTTACAGGAATTAAAGCCAAACCAACGATGGAGAGCACACCTCCTACTGCCCCCACTGAGCTGCCTGCCACACTGGAGATCTTTGCTCCCTTATTCATCCTGTCTAACTGAACAGCATGCTCCTCCAGGTCCTTGAGAGACTGTTCCATCCTCGGCTGTCGCTCTTTAAACTTATCGATGAAATCAGAGCAGGGTTCGTCCTCCTGAAACAAGAACACCATCCGGAAGCTCTGGTTCATCCTGATGATGAGAATTGAAGAAAAATACAAATGAAAATGATGCATTTAAAAACCTTAGTAGGTAACCTTAAATGCAGTAGAAACACATTGGATTATAAATTGTAAAAACATGGCCTCTAAAATCCTGCAGTTGCAGCTAAATGTACGTTAAGAGTCCACAGTATTCATACTGTGTCTCGAGCTCCTTTGCATTTTGTTTAAGTATTTATTTATTTTGTTATTGTTATTGCGTGACCATCTTAGTTCAGCATGTTTGCTAATTAACACTATACTGAGGTAAAGGCAATGTCTTAACCTTTGCAGAAATTTGGTGACAAACCAAAGTCTGGCAATTAAATTGATTAAGTTTGGCACGACAGAGCGCTAGAGGTAAAGTCAGTTGCTAACCAAAGACATTATCATTCATCATCTGGGAACTATTAACATGTGTACAAAGATTTGTGTTGGTCTGTGCTACAAACAACAAGCAAGCTAATACTGAGTGCATTTAATCGTTTTCATTATCATCACTCATCACACCTTGCACAGCTGTGTTGACAAAAAACACATAAATGAGTTACACGTACCTGAGTTCCTCGAGCTGATTAATGTGATGAAGCATCCTTTGTGTGTCATCTTCAGACAAATCCACAGCGAGATCTACCAGTGTATCGTCGTTCATCTTCAGGCGAAATTCACAGAAGGAGCTGTGAAAAACAGGAAAATATTTTTTATCATAGATGTTTATTTTGGTTAATGTGCATATTATTTTGAGGACATGCCTCTTTACCTTTTCTCTAACTTCTCACAGATGTTCTCGGTGGTCCTTATGTATTTGTCCAGCTGATATGCCAGCACTTCAACATTCTGAAGTTTGGGGCAGAAGAAGGCGTCTGCATCTCTTTTAAACTCGATGAGGTGAGGGCAGTGCATCCGTGCAGCAATGATGACAAGCTGAACCATTACAGGGCTGATCCCTCCTGGCAGATGTAACACCTGGTTCTCTTCCATGAACAAAGGAAGTGAGGTGACCGCCAGATTCTCCACCGCATCCAGGAAGCAGTCGAGCTCCCCCAGGCCTTCCAGAGTGGACTTCAGCAGAGCAGCCAGCTCCTTCTCCAGCTCTGCTCGCCTGCTGTCTGCAGTACCCTGCAGGGTTACCTTGCTCTTCATATATTCCAGAAAGGCTTTACCTTTGGTCTGTGACTTGGTAACATGGCCGATGCAGAGGTCAATGTAATCAGCCCTGGTTTTGATGTCAATCATCATATCCACCTCTTTCTCCCTCTTTAGTATCCATTTAGAACTCTTCCGACAGAATTCTTTCACTGTGTCGATGTCGATGAGGGTGTCTGCGGTGTAGCAGCACAAGGCCTCCTGGAGGTCCTTTCTATAACACACAACATCATTCGTTTGTGAAATTGGAAAACAAAACAAATTCAAACTGAATTGTCGTTGTGCCGTTGTTGTCTTTTATCACAAGATCTACCGTATATCTCCAGCTCGAGCTTTGTGTCCCCACCAAATATTCCCTGGGCCCAAAGCCTCTGGTCAAACTTATTCTTAAAAACACAGGCAGCCCTTGATTATGGTTTTCTTACTCATTTACACAGACTGTTGACAGTCAGAGGAGGATTGGCTCACATCCGAAACCCCTCGCACTTAAACACAGGGTTTTACTTTAGGACCATCAATAAATTACCATTTTATGAGACAAAACATATCTTATTTCTAAACCACCATGCTGATTCATATAAGTGGCCAATGGCCATTATGCTAAAACAAATGTCACTGCAGAATTATATAAGTACAATGAACAAGAGAAAAATATGTCTTTTTTTAATGAAATTTAGTCCACATTCATCAGTTTGGATAGGACTTTTGTTGTGCACTTTTATGTATTAAAGGTATTATGCAAAATCCACTTTTTAATGTCTTTTATGAATAAACATGTGTCCCCTCTGTGTAAAGAGATTCTGAAAGTTTCAGGAAAAAAGATTCTCTCTCTTTTTGTCCTGATCCATTTATATAAAAACCTGTCTGAAAATTAGCTGATCAGATTTTGGCCACTTTATGATGTCATAACGATTTTCTTCCTTGTGTAACCATTAGCATTATTAGCATTAGCATTAGCCCCGCGCACCAACGGAGAGAGAATAACTTATGGCAACACAAAAAAAAAACATAGGAGCGGTGGAGTGATGAGGAGGTGTCGGCGTTCTGGCGATTTACTCGGAAGGCTTAAGTAGAAGCTGCTGGGAGTCCCAGCAGCTTCTACTGAAGCCAGTCCCCAACTCCGGGGACTTCTGTCCGGGGACTTCGGGTGGCAGTATACGCCGTGAAGTGGTTTGCGGCCTGCCAGTAAACCCAAAGCAGAAGAAGACGAAGTGACGTCAGCGGCTCATTTGCGTAATCTTCCCTCAGGGAACTTATTCCGGTGTGAACGCGATCGGCTCTTAGTTCCATGGGGGCACTAAGTGCCGGGGCACTAAGTACGGCAATTGTGTTCTTTTTAACCAAATATCTCGCAGAGGGGCGTTGGGAGTGGCACCTTATTTTCATCTAAAGCAGTGGTTCTCAAACTCTTTCTGCCATTCCCCACTTTCAACATGTGGGCCTTTTCAAGCCCCACCTGTCGTGAGCTACTTTTACTCCTCTTTTTTTTGTTTTTTGCAGTGTATATATTTTGCATATTTTAACATTATTATATGCTTACCTTTAACCTTTGTGTGCTGTTTGGGTCTGTGGGACCCGTTTTCAGTGTTTACTAAAAATAAAATGTATGCAATTTAATTATTTTAACCTGCTTTATTTGGGGGTGGACCTCACATATTCTCAGGGGGTCCGGGGGCATGCACCCCCGGGAAGATTTTTTTTTTAATGTTGAAGTGAAAAGCATCAATCTGGTGCACTTTGAGCACAACATGAATTTATGGATAGAGCTCTCAACACTCATGAAAGGGAGCTGTATACTTTTCAATAATCCAAACATCTTTAGAATATGATCACAACCAATAACAAATCATTTAAACTTGTTTATTCTTATCTTATGTTACCTAGTTAGCTTCTTTCTTTTTATTTATGCATATTTTACTAATCACTCCCCTTTTAAACTGTTTTTTTTGTTTGTTACTGTCCTATAGTACACATTGGAATGATTTCTTACTTTATTTTTTACAACTAGGCTATATTAAATAGATAAAGGTGTGCTCTCTCTAGCTCTCTCGCTCTCTCTCTGTCTCGCTCGCTCACAGAGGCTGTGTGCTCCTCCGTGGCGATGACGACTTGCGTTAAAAATAGGGCTGTCAAGTTAACGCCACTAATTATTTTAACGCGATTAACGCATGTGTATTTTTTGTCCTCGGCCGCCCCGTAGTTTCAGAGCGCATCGAGTTTAAAATACCATCTACAAGCTGATGCTGACAGCCCCGCTCCTGCCGCCCGCTTGTGGTAGACCACACTTCCACGCTCACCGGCAGGCCCGGACTAGCCATCGGGAGGACCGGGAGGGTGTGTGTATGTGTGGCGCGAGCGAGGCACACCTTACGTGTTGTTGTTGTTGTTGTTAGCATCTGGTGCTAGCTAGCTGCGCTAACGGATATAAGGAGCTGTTTCAATGAAAACAGAGGAGCGACATTTCGCCGACAACTGCGCCGAGCACTTGACTTTATGCAGGTAGCCAGACAGTGGGACATTGTACGAAAAGTCAGCACACTCAGCACGGATAGTGCACGCAACATGATTGCAGCGTCCAGGCAGCTCCCGTTCGAGCATATGCCTTGAGTTGCACATAGCTCCAACGATCCATCACAGTCTCTCCACATTCATTCACACACACACACACACACACACACACACACACACACACACACACACACACACACACACACACACACACACACACACACACACACACACACACACACACACACTTTGTATTGTATTATTGTATGAGAGAGGTTTCAGGTTGAATTGAGGCGAATATTTGTAATGTTCAGAGGTTGTTGTGTTTAATATTCATGAGAATATTTGTCATTGTTCAAATGATAATAAACAAACATATAAAGCATATTTGTCCACTCATATGTTGATACAGTAAGAGTATTAAAAACTTGAAAAATATCCCTCTAAGGTACATTTAGAACAGATAAAAAATGTGCGATTAATTTGCGATTAATCGTGATTAACTATGGACAATCATGCGATTAATCGCGATTAAATATTTTTAATCGACTGACAGCCCTAGTTAAAAAATAATAATAAACATATTTCACGGTTAAACTCCTTATGAAGTGGTGAGGTGCCGCTCCACATTGCTTTTCTTCCCGACTTGTACATTATTTTGGTTTCAGTTGTGTGTGTGTGTGAGCAGAGATTCGGGACTTTTCCCGGTGGGCCGCTGCCGTTTGTGGGCTGCTGCCTTAGGTGGGCCGTGTACTTTCACGGCGCCGCTGCGCCGGTACCGCATTCCGCCGCTGCAAACACCCGTTGCCAGTGGCGAATGGTCATTAGGGGCAGGTGGGGCACAGCCCCACCTAGTGTCAGCAGAAAGTATTACAAATAATGATTACAAAAATGCAAAAAAATAAATAAAAAAATATATAAAATATATTTTAAGATCATGTTTAACCTGTTTCACGCCTTCCCCCCGGTACCGGGCGGATAAACGCGTCATTTGCAGGAAACAACGTCTAAGGAATCTTAATATTGAATAAAACTATGAATGTGTTATATCCATGTAACGGGAAGAAACTCAGCTAACTGATCTTTTTAATTTTTTTTTTCAAAAAAAACCCACAATGCTAGCACTCAGCCTCTGAATTAGCCTCGACGAAAAAACGTAACCTACAAAGGCACATAAACTCACTCAGAACTCCCTTATTACTTATCCTAGATGCACAACCAAACACTCTTTTTTGGTGTCCTGGAGACACTGAATCTACCGGTGCCCACCTCAACACTCAGTGATAAACATTCGCGACGCTATCAACGAAAGCGTACATCATCACATGTGGAGCCAAGAAGCTAAACATGTAAATATGGCTTACCTTGGTCAAAAGTGGTCTTCAATGGCATTAAAACGATAAAAAAACGATGCTGCAGTTAATCCATAGGTTCATCCTATGTGTCTGTGCCTTCTTTGAAATTATTTCTGATAATCCATAAGCAATACAACTGCGTTTTAGTTTCCAAACTCCAGAAGGAGACATTCCTCCAGTTTAGTTTCGCTTTCCACACGCGAAGCGGCCACATTTTTTCTTTACAATGTATGTGTATGTGAGTCTCCTCCTTCGATTATATTGGCTCTAACGGTCACAAGGGTATGTCAACCAACCAGATCGAGCAAGGGGGGCCAGAGATAGGTCAAATCCACCCAAATGACCCCAGATGGCCCAGTTTTTGGCTAAATCTCTCTAAAAAGGTCAAATTTCACTTGTTTTGCATCAATCTTGATACAGGGTACTTATTATATGTTGTACTTTGGATTCCTAAAGCTTTTAGTCTACTAACCCATCATCCAAGGGTAGTTTTCACTATCTGTAAAAAATAATTTTTGGACGGACACTATAATTTACAGTTTTTTACTATGTAAAATCTGAATTTTCTTTAAAATAAAAAACATTTATATTGATTCTGACACTTCTACATCCAACTCACAGGTTTATCATTACTTTGAGAAAAAAGATTATTAATTTAACCCTTTTAGAAGGGAAGATATGGTCATTTGTTCTGGGAATGTCATTTTCGAGCCTGAGACCTGAAAAACAGGCTCAGAGTGGAACAGGTTAATCATCTGATTCGTCTGTACATTGCTGTTTTAGTCTGTGTTCTTCTAATTAGTGTGTCTACAGTCACAGTGTGTGCCTATTGAGCTGTTTAGAGCCATGTGGGACAAAACCTGATTATGCCCCTTCCTCTCGCTGTGAAGTGAACGGTGACTGTAAAAACTTCACTGCGCATGCTCAGAGTATTTTGTAATGTAATGTGTGTGGCAAAAAAATAATGACCAGAGGGGCACGGAGTTACCATCCCCACCATACGTCATCTCAAATCATTCAGAGCTGATTGGCTGTAAGTACGTGTGCCGCGAAAAGTGTGGTGCTTGAAGAGGAGACGAGAGAGCTGCAGTGGCGCGTCCTAAAACCAGGAAGTAAGCACAAAAAAGCAATGAGATTTCTCCAGAGGATTTTAGAAAATAGCTCGAAATAAGATCTGTGGGAAACGTACCTGTTAGATAAATGCACGTTTTGATTAGCCGGATAACATCCACATGTCTACCCTACTTTTATAATTTTTTTATCATAAATCTATGGATTAGATTTATGATAGACTTTTGAAACTACAAGAACATAAGGAGGACTTTTACAAAAAAGTAATAGAAATGTTTGTCCAGAAGGATAGGCAAATGGACTTCATCTTCAAGTCAAGGTAAGACCGCCATTTTATTGACAATGGGATCTTACTAAGAGAGAACAATTCAATATTTAAATGATAAAATTACATTTTTTGGGTATCCTTTTGTTGAACTGTCTGTTTAAAATTAATCGAAGCATCAGACAAAAAAAGCTTTTGAAAATAATATTATATTTTGGTTTAGGTCAAAATATAATATTTGTAAACCTGAAGAGTCAGTGCCAGTGCCTCACCAGCCATGAACCTCACTGCACGTCACTGCAGAAGCTTATATATAGACATCTAAGTTTTTTGTACATATAAAAACGCCACTGCCCGTTGCGAGTCTCCGGCTGTAACAGTCCACTTCCGCCCGCGAGGACCCAGGTTCGATTCCGGTCTGAGGTCCAAAAAATGTATTAAAAAAAAAAAAATAATAATGATAATCTCCCGTTCATCGCGTCCATTCGCGACCCACCTATCACATCTCCGCCCCACACTTTGAGAAACGCTGATCCAAAGTAACAGACAGAGAATCAGCACTTTAGAAACAGGGCTGAAACAGAGGGGGTTTATGGGATGCTACAATGCATGATCTGTTTGGTATTTCGAGCCAAGCACATCAGAGACATGTTTTGTATATATCTGAGACCTATAATATATTGATGAAAAACAGTATAATAGGTGACCTTTAATGTAAAAATCTTCCTCTATAAATTAGAAAGTGGACTGAATTAATAAAAAACGTTTTTCCTGTTTGTCAAGTGCAGTAATGATATCTGTTATGAATTTGGAGTCACTGGGTAACATGAAATGGAAGGTATGCAAATAAATTAAACTTTGTAATGCCTTATTTGTCCAGTATAAAGACGCAGCAGAAACCGGCGTGAATGTCTTTCAATTGACCAACCTAAAGCTAACTTCACCGCGGTAAATATCTAAATAATTTGACCAAATAACTCCATTTCTGTGCTGAGGAGCGTCGGTGTTGATCTGCTGTGGCGGAACATTAAGACAAAAAGTCAGAGATCCTGTCTTTATCTTCAGGGTAAACTCAATACTGAAGTTGAACCGAAGTAAGAGTTCTGCTTCACCTGCATGAGTCACCGAGACAAAAAGCAACTACAAAGTGAGTGACGCAAAGAAACTAAACTACAACAAAGAGACCGTGCTATGGCTACTTTTCAGTTTGTTGCCTTTTATCACACGATAGGCTTTAACATTACTTCCTACGTGTATTTACTATTATAAAACACAGTGGAAATAGCTAAAATGACACTTACTGTACTACAAAATAAACTCTTTAATGTATTTTTCTGTTCAAAAGTGTCTCAACGATATTGTTTACCTTGCAGCAGACATGTTTCTCCTCTTGACAGTGTGCGTTCTTCAGTTCCTCGACTCCACAACGTATCACCTGCGTGTTTAAAATGAAAACAGAAATATATTGTACATCTAACCTGTAACTAACCCTGACCCGAGAAACTATACGACTAATCTGCTGAAAGCACTAACGCCAGACTACTTGTTAAGGACTTGTGTTGACATAAGGGCTGACGTGTTAGGTTTCATTTTCTTTTCTCTACCTCACCAGGTAAAACCACCCCACCCATTCCTGGACTGAGGGTTGAAAGGTTTAAGGAAGCAGCACACCTTTTGGTTTCTTGAGAAAAATAACTTTAAAAAAAGGCTGTCCGAAATAAACATTTTACTTTATGATGCTGTAATGACTGATATGCTGACAAGATAAGCTGAATTGATTTACATATGTAATACATTATTATGTCAGTTTTGTAATTAGCTTTCAGTAGTTGTGTTTCAGTGACTTTCAATCCATAATAGTTATGACTACATGGCCAAATAGGTCAGACCTCTTTTATTGGATTTTACAGCCTTTTCTATTTTATGTAAATATTATTTTTAAAATTCTGCAGTTTTTCATTGAAAAATCTCTTCCTATTTCAAAAGAATTCATATAATTTCACCTAATGACTCAACATTAATGCAAGATTGTAAGAGTACACTGAACAAGTAGGACACACCTTTGTTATTGGCATTTAAAAACATCCAAGTGCTTCTAAAAACACTACAGCTAGAATTATACATTCAAATGCAGGTTTATTCTGTACACACAACCTCTTTTGCATGTCTGTCCGTCTTGTAGCGGGATCCCTCTTCAGTTGCTCTCCCAGACATTTCTCACATTTTTACCAGGTTAATTGTGGAGTTTCTCTTGTGCACTGCATGGGTCTGAAAACAGAGTGTGTTGCATGCTGTACAGTCTGTAAAGCCCCCTGAAACAAATGTGTAATTTGTGATATTGGGTTATATACATTAAATGTGATTAATTGATTAATTGACATTTTGCATAACATTTTTATATAGCAATAGAATCCGTGTATCTACCGTCCAATTGTTTTTCTTTATTAAACAAGTAAACGGAAGAGCGTCTGTGAGGCGTTTTTGCTTTTTACCTTACTACATGGTCTAATAGAGAGGCGAAGTCCCTCCCCTTCCGGTTGAGCTCCATGGGACCTTATTTCGGAAAATGTATGCATTGAAGTCAATGGAGAGAGAAAGATTATCTTTCGATCCCGTTTGAATTGTGCCACGAATTACACATATGATGTTTGTCAATTTAAAAGATACATTTGCAAGTCAAAAAAATTAAAATGTGTCGTAAAACTGTGAAGTAACACTTTTTTTTGTGTGAACCGCTCAATGACCTACATCTCCCGTCTCGCACCACACACCAAGACGGCCGTCACGTTAGCACATTTCACTTCTTTCTTTCAGAATGAGGGGAAAAGTATTACAAGAGGTGAAAATCACTCCAAGTCTGGGCATGTTGAGAGCTGTACACAAAAGGGGAGTTAGTCGGTTCCGTAAGAGCCAGCATGCGGGACCGGGATTCTGGGATTTGTAGTCTTTCGAGTTGCGTACTTTTCATAGTCTTATATTTCAACAGTTTTACGACAAACTGTGACTTTTTTGACATGGAAATTATTATTTAAGATTGACAAACATCATATGTGTAATTCGTGGCACAATTCAAACGGGATCGAAAGATAATCCTTCTCTCTCCATTGACTTCAATGCACTTTTTCCAAAATAAGGTCCCATGAGTCCCACCGGAAGGGGAGGGACTTCGCCTCTCTATGGTCCTTGGAGCGAGGGGCGGGGCGAAACTCACGGAAGTGATTTCAAAACAAAAGCACTCGTGTGCTTGGAACGGTGATAATATTATAAACAAGGGGAATTGAGCGATCACAACGAAAACAGCCAAGACATATATTGAGCCCAGAAAATGAATGTTATTAACTGCTGTAAATATAATAAGCCTGTGTCTAAAATTGACAACTTGTTAGGAGATTTAAACGACAGCGATTCTGCACTGTGGTCAACTGTTTTTTCAATTCAGCTGCTCTTCATTTTTTGTCCTGCTATATATCGATACAAATATTTGTTATCATAAGTTCTTAATAAAACTGACACTGTTGGACTCGGTACTAGTTTGACTGCTACCAGAAATAAAATGAAGTACTTTTACTGTGTACTTTGTGAGTAATCCTCTGCCAGAGTCCATAATGCATGTTTTCTGCTATCTTTGATGAATGATAAAAAGACAATTTTACCATTAGTTCTTAATGATATTGATACTGCTGGACTTAGTAGTCTTACACCTACTATACAATGAAGTACTTCTAGTGTGTTGTTAAAAAAAAAAAAAATCCTCTGTCAATGTCCCCTCCTGAGAACAAAATCAAGCCACTTCTGTTAAGTTTGATGAGGGAAAAAATGATTTTTGCCATTAGTTCTTCGTGAGTTTGACACTGTTAGACTCAGTACTAGTGAAACTACTCCCACGAGTACTATGAAGTAGGCTACTTTTACTATCTACTTTCCCAGTAATCCTCTGTCAATGTCCCCTCCTGAGTACAAAAATGCATGTTTTTCTGCTATTTTTAATAAGCATTAAAAAACCTTTCTTCCTGAGACTGATATTATTGGACAGAGTATTTTAAGAGGATATGGTGGACATATTATCAGCAATACTTCCAGTCAGTACTCCGGCAGCAGCATTTTGACACCTTGGAAAGTCTTTAGAGACTGGCCTGGATAGCTGGTCACAACTATCCTTCAGCAAAGTGACACACTCTGTCACTCTGGTTGGCCTCTTATGATGTTGCTGTCTTTTAATATATAATTATTTCTCTGCCGCTAGTTCGTTCCTCGCAGACTCTTCAGTCTCATCAGCCTCATCCTTCCATCAGTCCCAGTCAACGCCTCCAGCACACTTCCAGTGTCTGACTCCATATGATTTTGTCCTGATGCTGTATACAAGGGTGATGCCCCATGATCGCAAAATGACCCCTAGAGTCTGAGTGCCAAGGACCTCATATTATGTCTGTCATTAATGTTACATCACCCATTATAACAATTTTCTTTCCTTTTTTCTCTTCTCTTAACTGAATAGTCCTGTCTTTAAGTATAATACAATGTAAAGTCCTTTTCCTGCACCATTTTAAGGCTTCAAAACAGGCATTTTTACTGTATGTGTTTGGAGAAATAACACAATCAATGGCCCAGAATAGTACTTTATAAACTATGAATCTTGTGGTGCTTGAAGAAATACAGACTCGTTAAGCCGGCCAGGTTATATGCCTTTTTTGGAGCCCTTTTTTTCAATATTTATTAAAATGTCACTAGTTTTTTAAACAAACCACTATCTGAGGATTATACAAGCAACCATAAAACGCCCTTTATCTAGAGAGCCATTGAAGCCCATGAAGAATTGATCCTTCCATAAATCTTTTCATCTGCTGTATTAATAAAGTTGCCACGTGTTTTCAAATTCAAGTTAAGGCACTATCTGTGCAGAACATTAAAAATATTCTTCATTTGCAGTATTTTATTTAAAAGTGTTCAGAAAGACTGCATCAATTATATGCTATATATCTATATATCTATATAATATCAATATTTGTATTAAAGGAGAGGTGTCATGGCCATTTCCACTGATCATAATTCCATTGTTGAGGTATACTAAAATAGATTTATACTGTGCATTTTTCCAAACTCACATTGGTTTCGCATACAGCATCTCTGTAAAGTGTGTGTATTCAGCAGTATTCACTCTCTCCACTAAACGGCTCGTTGCAGCTCTTGCCGCCCCCTCCCTGTGAGCCCAGTGTGTACCGATTGGTCAGCTCGGGCACTCTGTTCTGATTAGTCAACCACCAGAGAGGCTCCGCCCATGTCTAACAGTGCTTTTTTCGGCTCGCTCTGAGCGGAACATCAGTCTTATAATGGCGTCGGTACAGCCGTATATTTTATACGCTAACTAACCGAACTGTACCTACAACTGTTGTTATAGAAGAGTAAGTTATTTTTACCTGTAATAAACTACTACTGTTTGATGAGAAATCAAATCATGGTTTGCTATATATGAATGATATGTTATAGGAGCAAATAATTCAGGGAAGAAAAGATACTAAGTATTTCCATCAAACTTTATTTTTAGAAATGTACAAAATGAACATGCGTAAATATACATATATACACTGTATATCATCCATTCCTCCCCTTATATGCGCTTTCGGCATCTTGCCTATCGCAGCTTTAAGCTGGTGCTGGGGCTTTTTAGGACGAGACATCAGAGTGGTCATCCCGTGTGTGTGTTGTCTGCCAGATACGCCAGGAGTTTCCTGATCTGGCTGGATGAAATCAAATGCAAATCACAAAATATTAGAGAAACTTAGTTGTTTTCGATTCGTTAGTAGTAGGAGTGTGTATCTATCTAATCTATCTATCTAATCAACACAGTTAGCTTGCCAGCTAATATGCTAACCTACGTTTGCTAGTTGTTCAGTGTAATATGCCAATCTACTATGAAAAACAGCTAGTCTAGGCTAGCAAGAACATGTTTACAATTGCAATCTTATACGGGTAGTCTGCTACGTTCAGTCATTCATTGTAGCTGGCATGAAAACAATGTTTTCCCTAGCATGTCTAGCTCTAGCTGGCCTTCTTGTTTAGCTATGTAGCATACACGCCAGGAACGCCAACTATAATGTACTGACCGTACGGTAAATCACCCGGAGTATACTGTCTATGAGTATTTTGTGTGTGATTGCAGACATTCTCCAGCTATGAGATACATGTAAGGCCATCTGCTAACATTGGAGTTGATATATGGAAACGCTAGCAACTTAGTTATAACTGCTCGCACACACACAGACACACACACTGCTGGAGGAGCAGACAGGCTTGGCGATACAGCTAGAACAAGCCAAACTCATCCTGAACACACACAAACACTCACAGCCGAAGTAAAAACAATAAGTGTGGCTTGATATTGAGTAAGAAAAAGGTTTATAACGCTGTGAGCATGGGTCTGCGGAGAGCATTTCAACGTAGAAAAACGTTTACCCATTTAAACAGTCGTGGTAGATACCTTGTTTGTTTTAAACATCATAAATACACAAACAACAAGGAATACTTACAGGTTGTGTACCCGAATCTCCCGCTGGTCCAAACAAAGTAGGAACAGCATCGTTCTTCAGTGCCCTACGCTGTACATATCCGGCATGAATCGCTGAAAGGTTTTGGGAAGCTTTGTTTTACGTGAAAGGCTGGCAGAGGCTGCGGCCATAGCTCTGGGCGTGGCTACTGGGTATCCCTATGTAGCGATACCCAGGAAGTAAACAATGGAAAATGAGAAATCTCCAATGAGGCGTTTTGGGGAGGTATTTTCTGTGTTAGAGTTTTACTCGCTACAGGGTGTATTTTGAGGGTTTTTGACTCTGCAGACCATTTACATGCATAAAAACCTTCATAACACACAAGGGGATGGGTAATAACCGGAAAAGCATGACACCTCTCCTTTAACTTCAACCAAAGTCAATTTAAATAGCGGGCAAAAATGGGTTAATTGCCATGGATGTGGTGTTTGATATAGTTTACGTTCAATTTCAACATATCTCTCAGTAGTCTGTTGTCTCGGACATAAACTCCGTAATAAATGTAGTCTACATTTCATAAGAGGCGTAAAACCTGAGAGCATTTTAAATCGCATTTGAACAAAATGCTTATGATCTGTAGTTGTATTTGTATTTTTGATTTATTGTGTGAACGAGGCGTTGTAGAGAAGGTTAAGCTGTCATTATTAGGCTGTTATGTACTGTTGGAGTGGTAAGCAGGCCTATTGTTTTTGGATATTTGTGGAGTTAGGTGGTCCGTGAGTGTTTTTTTATTGGTTAAGTGGTCCTTGGTATGAAAAAGTTTGAGAAACACTGCGCTAGTGGATTGTCAACGGGGGGAGCCTCGCTGCGGGGAAATTATACAGATGGCTAGTCCCCTCTCTCTTCCTTGACTTACAAAGTTATTGACTTCTGCTGGAGTTGTTTAGTAACTCAACTTTCTCCGGTTGACCTGACTCTGACTGACTACCGGCTGTGCTGAGCTGCCGGCATTATCATTACGAGAGATCGAATGCATAAAATATGATGATGTGATTGAAAAGCTTGGAGAAAATAATTTCAAATAATTCTAGTATAGCATCAGAATGCTTTCGAATATATATCTACTGTATATATTAATCCATTATTAAAATGAACAGAAACAATGTTTAACTACTTAAAACTTTATTGATTAATTTGTACAAGAAAAATATATAGTTAGAATTATACATACAAATAATGCAGATCATACAAATTATAGAATGTTCTTCATTTATTCTGTACACACAACATCTTTTGCACATCTGTCCGTCCTTCCGATCCCTCTTCAGTTGCTTCCGGACGTTTCTCTAATTTTTACCCGTTAATTGTGGAGTTTCTCTTGTGCACAGCATGGGTCTGAAGACAGAGCGTGTTGTATGCTGTACAGTCTGTGAAGCCCTCTGATACAAATGTGTAATTTGTGGTATTGGGTTGTATACACAATGTCATTGATTGTTTTATTTAAAATGTTTACATAGAAATAGCAACTCTTAAATGCGTTGTATTGAAACAGGTTTGAAAAAAGGTTAATGACGTCAAAGATACATGTGAACAGCGAGCTGTAAGCAGTTTAAATGAATCTCATTATGTGATTATACTAGGGCTGTCAGTCGATTAAAATATTTAATCGCGATTAATCGCATGATTGTCCATAGTTAATCGCAATTAATCGCAAATTAATCGCACATTTTTTATCTGTTCTAAATGTACCTTAGAGGGATATTTTTCAAGGTTTTAATACTCTTATCAACATATGAGTGGGCAAATATGCTTTATATGTTTGTTTATTATCATTTGAACAATGACAAATATTCTCATGAATATTAAACACAACAAATATTCGCCTCAATTCAACCTGGAACCTCTCTCATACAATAATACAATACAAAGTGTGTGTGTGTGTGTGTGTGTGTGTGTGTGTGTGTGTGAAGGCATATATGCTCGAACGGGAGCTGCCTGGACGCTGCAATCATGTTGCGCGCACGATCCGTGCTGAGTGTGCTGACTTTTCGTACAATGTCCCACTGTCTGGCTACCTGCATAAAGTCAAGTGCTCGGTGCAGTTGTCGGCGAAATGTCGCTCCTCTGTTTTCATTGAAACAGCTCCTTATATCCGTTAGCGCAGCTAGCTAGCACCAGATGCTAACAACAACAACAACAACACGTAAGGTGTGCCTCGCTCGCGCCACACATACACACACCCTCCCGGTCCTCCCGATGGCCAGTCCGGGCCTGCCGGTGAGCGTGGAAGTGTGGTCTGCCACAAGCGGGCGGCAGGAGCGGGGCTGTCAGCATCAGCTTGTAGATGGTATTTTAAACACATGCGTTAATCGCGTTAAAATAATTAGTGGCGTTAATCTTTTTTGCATTAACGCGTTATTAACTTGACAGCCCTAGATTATACAGATTTCAGATCCAGATTTGGAAAAAAAAACTCAAATTCAGTAGGTGTCTTTGTTTGGTGTTCACTACTGTATTAAACAAAGCTGTTTTTATTTTTCTTCCAAAATGGGAAACAAATCTTCCATTTTGTTTTTTCTGTGTCTCTTCATCTTCCTTTCTGGATAAAATGACATCTCCAGGATAGCTTTGTTTTCTTTTGATGTCTGCAAACCTTCACAGAGGGAGTCATGGATCATCTGCATTGAATCCACCTCTGATCTCCAAAGTGCTGCTCTGGCTCTGATAAACTTAGAAAATTCAGTCTCGCTTCCTTTGGCCAGACTGATGCTATCTTTACAGATGAAGAAGATATCCATGCCGAGGAACAGAGCATTGAGCCCAATGAAACTGGCCCTGGCTGACTTGGAGAGGGCAAGAGGCCCTTTGGCTGCATCAACTAATGAATCAATACTTTTTGCAATAGTGCCAGCTCTACATACCAACTTGCCGAGAGCAATATGTTTCCCGCTTGTTCCTTTTTTGGTGACCTCCTCCAGACAATCCTGGAGACACTGCATATCCTCCATGAAGCTCTCAAACACTTCTTTGGCTTTCCTTTGATAGGTACAGTTTACTCCAAACTCTGTGCCAGTGGTGACAGCGCTGTTGACTCCGCTTGTAATTCCCATGCCTACCCCGGTCATTGTCAGAGCCAAAGACACTCCAGCTGTTACAGGAATTAAAGCCAAACCAACGATGGAGAGCACACCTCCTACTGCCCCCACTGAGCTGCCTGCCACACTGGAGATCTTTGCTCCCTTATTCATCTGGTCTAACTGAACAGCATGCTCCTCCAGGTCCTTTAGAGACTGTTCCATCCTCGGCTGTCGCTCTTTAAACTCATCGATGAAGCCAGAGCAGGGTTCGTCCTGATACAAGAACACCACTCGGAAGCTCTGGTTCATCCTGACGATGAGAAAAGAGGAATAAAATTAATTGAAAATAACATGATAAATCTCAAGAAGTAAGTATGTAACCCATAATACAGTATCCAAATATTAGATTTCCTTTTTGTGAGACATTAGGAGACTACAAAGTGCAATAAAATCAACATTAAAAAAACTAAATAGTAAGAAAATGAAAACATACAATAGTATTTACTCCTGCTGAACAAGGAGTTGCTGCTAAATCAAATATTGATTATTATATTTAGAAGATTTGAACATTTCAACTGATTTTTATCTCTTTTTTTTTAACAGGAGCCGTTTTACAAGCCTTAATTTTGCCTTGTCGTATGTTGTTTTATTGTAGCCAAGGAATTGTTTAGACAGAAAATCAATAAGTAGTGACAATAAATAACAATTATTATTGCAACATTAGCATGAGACCAGGTTACAAAGGAAACCACATCAATATCTCAATTTCTACTTTCTATATTTTAACTATGACATTTTAATCTTTAATCAATTTAATTAAATCATCTAAAAGGTGTTTTTGGCATTGTGGTAAGCATAATGCAGATTGCTTCATGAAATGCATTACAAGACACTAAAATACTGTACCTGCTGTATCGTATTTGATAACACGATTTTTCTGTGAAATAAGCTACACAATATAAACTGATTATAACTTGCTTCAATACAGTAAATATTCATATTGAAATATCAGTAACAATATATACGTTGGCTAATTAACACTAAACATATAGTAAATCTGAGCTTGAAGGCATTTTTGCAGAAATGTATTCACAAAACAAAGTCTGGCTATTAAATTGATTAAGTTTGACATGACAGAGCGTTGGAGGTATGTTAGTTGCTAACCAAAGACATTAGTCAATCATTTGGGAATTATTTACATCTGTACAAAGATGTGTGTTGGTCTATGCTACAAACAACAAGCAAGTTAATAATATTAGTTTGCATGTCATAGTTTTCATTATCATCACTCATCAGACCTTGCACAGCTGTTTTGACAAAAACCACATAAAGGTGTTACACGTACCTGAGTTCATCGAGCTGATTAATGTGATGAAGCATCCTTTGTGTGTCATCTTCAGACAAATCCACAGCGAGGTCTACCAGAGTATCGTCGTTCATCTTCAGGCAAAAGTCACAGAAGGAGCTGTGAAAAACAGGAAAATATTTTTTATCATAGATGTTTATTTTGCGAAGTGTGCATATTATTTTAGGGTCTTTACCTTTTCTCTAACTCCTCACAGATTTGCTGAGTGGTCCTTATGTATTTGTCCAGCTGATATGCCAGCACTTCCACATTCTGAAGTTTGGGGCGGAAGAAGGCGTCTGCATCTCTTTTAAACTCGAGGAGGTGAGGGCAGATCTTCCGTGCAGCAATGATGACAAGCTGAACCGTTACAGGGCTGATCCCTTCAGGCAGATGTAACACCTGGTTCTCTTCCATGAACAAAGGAAGTGAGGTGACCGCCAGATTCTCCACCGCATCCAAGAAGCAGTCGAGCTCCCCCAGGCCTTCCAGAGTGGACTTCAACAGAGCAGCCAGCTCCTCCTCCAGCTCTGCTCGCCTGCCGTCTGCAGTACCCTGGGTTACCATGCTCTTCATATATTCCAGAAAGGCTTTACCTCTGGTCTGTGACTTGGTAACATGGCCGATGCTGAGGTCAATCATCATATCCAACTCTTTCTCCCTCTTTAGTATCCATTTAGAACTCTTCTGACAGAATTCTTTTACTGTGTCGATGTCGATGAGGGTGTCTGCGGTGTAGCAGCACAAGGCCTCCTGGAGGTCCTTTCTATAACACAAAACATAATTTAGTTTGTGAAATTGGAAAACAAATTCAAACTGAATTGTCGTTGTGCCGTTGTTGTCTTTCATCAAATCAAATCAAATCAATCAAATCAAGTTTTATTTATAAAGCACATTTAAAAGCGATTTTTGGTCGAGCCAAAGTGCTGTACATGTAATAAAAACACATTACTACAAAACACAATAAACGACAATAAATTACAACAGATATAACTTCAAAAACAAAATAAGAATAAAACACACGGAATAGTCAGGAGTCGTGCTCCGCTCTAACTAGAAAGCCAGAGAGAAGAAGTGTGTTTTTAGTTTTGATTTAAAAACCCCTAGGGTCTGGGCCGACCTCACATGGAGGGGCAGAGTGTTCCAGAGCCTAGGGCCAGCTGCTGCGAAGGCTCGGTGCCCTCGGGTTTTTAGCCTGGTCTTGGGCACTACCAGCAGCAGCTGGTCAGCAGACCTTAAAGCTCTGGCTGGGGTGTAGCGCTGGAGCAGTTCAGTTATAGAGGCCGGAGCCAGCCCATTTAGGGCTTTAAAAACAAATAAAAGGATTTTAAAATCAATTCTGAACCGAACTGGAAGCCAGTGTAGTGAGGCCAGAATAGGGGTGATGTGGTCGCGCTTTTTGTGACCAGTCAGCAAACGTGCAGCAGCGTTTTGGACTAGCTGTAAGCGTTTGATTGAGGCCTGGTCCATACCCACATACAGAGCGTTACAATAGTCCAGTCTCGAGGTTACAAAGGCGTTAATAACCCTTTCTAAGTCTTTAAAAGATAAATACGACTTGGTTTTGGCCAATAGTCTTATTTTAAAAAAGCAGGATTTTACTACGGTGCTGACCTGCTTGTCAAATTTAAAAGTGCTGGTGAATGTCACTCCAAGGTTCATGACCGAGGGGAGGATGTTTTTTTTGATAGAGCCCAGAATATCAACCGGAGAGGCTGGAGGTTGCGGTCCAAAAAAGATGACCTCGGTCTTGCTCTCGTTGAGGTTGAGGAAGTTTTTGCTCAGCCAGGATTTTATCTCTGCTAAGCAGTCCATCAGCTTCTGTAGTGAGTGTGTGACATTTGCTTTGAGAGGCAGATATATCTGTACATCGTCGGCGTAGCAGTGGAAGGGAATGTTATGTTTTGTGAGTATTGAACCTAGGGGCAGTATGTACAGTAGAAAAAGGATGGGGCCCAGAATCGAGCCTTGGGGAACCCCACAGGTAAGAGGGGCTTTGGCAGAGGAGAAGGCACCTAGCTGTACCGAGAAGCTACGGTCTGTCAGGTAGGACCTGAACCATGCAAGGGCAGAGCCTGTGATGCCAGCGGACTGTTCAAGCCGTGACAGCAGGATGCTATGGTCCACAGTGTCAAAGGCAGCTGTCAGGTCTAACAGCACCAAGACAGCTGGGCTACCTGAGTCGGCGGCTAGGAGCAGATCATTAAAAACTCTTAAAAGGGCTGTTTCAGTGCTATGCATGGGTTTGAAGCCAGACTGGAACTTTTCATGGATTCCATGCGTGGTTAAAAAAGACTGCAGCTGGGCGTAGACTACTCGCTCCAGGGCTTTTGATAAAAAAGGTAGCTGGGAGATGGGCCTAAAATTTGCGAGAATGGAGGGGTCGAGATTTTTCTTTTTAAGGAGTGGCTTAACCACGGCATGTTTGAAGGCAGCTGGGACACATCCTGAGGTAAGAGAGGTGTTTAAAAGTAATAAAATACTTGCTCCAACTGATTCTAAAACATCTCTGAGAAGGCGAGAGGGAATGCTATCTGAGGTGCAGTTTGTCGGCCGCAGGTGCTTGACTACATCCGAGAGAGCAGAGAGGGATACAGGGTCAAAGTGGTCGAGGACAGCAGGGCACAGAAAAGGAGCAGGATCTGGGGTAGCACTAGTATGGGCTAGCCTAAGAGCAGATACCTTTTCAATAAAAAATGTAAGAAAGTTATCACAGAGAGTAGTCGATGGGACAATAGAAGAAACATCACAGGGATTAATGATCGAGTTGAGGACATTAAAAAGAACCTGAGGTTTATGGCTGTTTTTGGAGATTAACAGAGAAATGTGCTCTGTTTGGCTGCTTTGACTGCCGTCTGGTAGTCAGAAAGGCAAGCACGAAGGATTTCTAGGGAGACATGGAGTTTATCCTTTTTCCATTTTCTCTCTGCACGCCTGCAAGCGCGTCTGAGATCACGAGTACAGTCATTGAGCCATGGCTCTGATAGAACTTTGGTGCGTCTAAGCGTAAAAGGAGCAACAGAATCCAGTATTATTTATCACAAGATCTACCGTATATCTCCAGCTCTAGCTTTGTGTCCCCACCAAATATTCCCTCGGCCCAAAGCCTCTGGTCAAAATTATTCTTAAAAACACAGACAGCCCTTGATTATGGTTTTCTTACTCATTTACACAGACTGTTGACAGTCAGAGGAGGATTGGCTCACATCCGAAACCCCTCGCACTTAAACACAGGGTTTTACTTTAGGACCATCAATAAATTACCATTTTATGAGACAAAACATATCTTATTTCTAAACCACCATGCTGATTCATATAAGTGGCCAATGGCCATTGTGCTAAAACAAATGTCACTGCAGAATTGTATAAGTACAATGAACAAGAGAAAAACATGTATTTTTTTAATTAAAGTAGACCTATCATGCTATATTTAAATGATATATTGTAGGGCCATACCTATATAAGGTATATTTATACGTTTCTGTTTTCAAAATACCAAACAGATCATGCAATTTAGCCATGCCTCATTTCGCTCTATGTGCTGTTTGCTGTCTACTGGGCTGATTCTATGAGCTGCAGCTGACCACGCCCCCCTGCAGGAGAGGGTAGCCGTGCTCTGATCAAGTCAAGAGGGGGAGAAAAAAAGATCTCCGTCCTCCGTGTTTTATTATATTGTTAGAGGCCTATAGAGTCGTTATTCATTTGTTTTAAAGCTCAATAAATAACAAAGAAGACCTTTGACCGGCACTTTTCTAATTTTGTCCGGAAGATTTAAACTCTAACGGACATCTTGACCGGCGAAAGAAACTGAGGTGTTGTGCACACAGGAACGTTTGCGTTTATGCACAGTATGCGTTTTCAAAAAAGTCTTCCGTTCACATGCATTCGTTTCATTTAACGTGTCTGTTCAAACGAGACCGCTGGAAACGCTGTAGTACATATGCCGGGACTGTAAGTGGCGCTGTAACTTCCGCCACAAAATACACCAAAAGCAGCGAAGAAGACCCCGGAGCGGAGCAATGTTGCCATGGCTACCCTTCTGTTTATGCCCCGTGGTGGATTTAGCAACATGTCGTAGTTCATGTAATTCTCCATGTCCACTTGTTGCTGATGGTTGTGGTAGAGGAGCTGTAGATTTTGCATTAACATCTGTAGCATGGTCAGTAGCAGTAGCACTAGCAGTAGCTACTGACAGGAGGAAGTGTGTGTGGCGATTGCTGGTATTCAGCGGGATATAGTAATCTCCTCAGCATGTAAATATATGGATAAATGCAACGGGGAAGTTAACTGAAAGAAACCGAATCTGTGGATATTGCATCGACCGACCAAGAAGCACGTCTCCGTGGAGAGGATGCGTTCAGAAAGAGAGATATTCTCTACAAACACCGGGTGAGATCGCTCCTCTGGGACACGCCGGTCCCCGTGTTTCCTTTTTTTGTGTGGATTATAGCCTGAATAGGCCTACAAACATTTCTCTTTTTGCCGCCGACGGGCGCAGGAGCAATGAACAATAATGGCCTGGATTAGGCAGTAAAGACAATTTTGGTGTATCGCAGAGTGGACTGTTTAATTTTGTTTGTGTTGTTTGGCTGGAAAATTGTCAATATAATGGATCAATGCATGAAATCTGACTCTGTTTATTTTGTTTAAGGAGTATATTGGGCGTTAACAATTCTGGTTTGCCTTTTATAATATTATTTCATTCAAGAACCCCTTGTGCGTTTAATTAACACAGCTATTTTTGAAAGTTGATCGTTACAGATGGCTACTGGCCATGCTACAGCAGTGAGCAGCAGAGGCGGGGAGAGGTGGGGCTATCGTTATTTTTTCAGGAAATATTCGTATAGAGGCGATTACACGGACTGGTTTGACCCCCCAGAGAGTTTCGTTTGCAAATCTATCCACCTTGGGACCCGTTATTGTTTGTGGGGTCCGTGTAAATAATAGGGCTATACGCAAGAGAAACTATGCAGATACAAGCCGTTTTGTCCTCGTGTAAACGGCACCTGAAACTGAAACTCTGCCGCACGGTCCCCTCGTTCCTTGGAAGAGGCGGAGAGGTGGGTGTTTGTCATCTGCTGGTGGACTAACCGGAGAGAATTACAGTGCTTGCCTCGACGGGGAGGGATTGCATTGAATTAAAGCAGCGGGAGCAAACGCTTGCCTCGGGGAGGGAGAAAAAAAGCCGCAGCGGAGAATAAACAGAAGGGTAACCATGGTAACTATGGGCGGGAAGTCTTCTTCGCTGCTTTTGTGGCAGACTACAGCGCCACTTACAGGCCTGGCATATGTACTACAGCGTCTTCAGCGCTTTCGAGCGGCAATGGCCGGCCGTGGCCCAACCCCACATTCCCCTGATAGGTGGAGAGTTGGCCCAATAGCCGTAGCGCCACTTCTGTGACGTCATAGAAGTGTTCAAATCTGGATCAGTTTTTATCAGATCCGCTGCAGCCCCTTTTTTAGAGATTTGGGTATGGAGGAAAATAGAGAGGGTTGTGTTTTCTGACACTTGGTGAGTTCCCTGGAACACCGGGGACACATATTCATGTATAAAAGATGTACAAAAGTGAATTTTGCATGATAGGTCCCCTTTAAATTTAGTCCACATTCATCAGTATGGATAGGACTTTTGTTGTGCACTTTTATGTATTAAAGGTCACCTATTATGCAAAATCCACTTTTTCATGTCTTTTATAAATAAACATGTGTCCCCTCTGTGTAAAAAGACTCTGAAAGTTTCAGGAAAAAATATTCTCTCTTTTTGTC